CAGCAACGCCCACACACAGAGAAAAAAAAAAGATCCAGAGGCAATTCGGCATAGAGTGACAGCCTTTTATTTCTTCGCCTCCTTGGCAGCGGCAGCGGCTTCCTGGGCAGGGCTCTCCTCGACGCGGTCGCCCTCCTTGATGGCCTCGGAGGCCTCGGAGGCCTGCGAGCGCGAGCGGTACTTGACTTCATCCTTGTCGTCGTCGATATCCTCGATATCCTGGGGCGCGGAGACGCCCTTCTCCTCGTTCTCGCTGTTCTGGCTGTTCTCCTCCTCGATGAGCTCCTGCTGCTCCTTGATGACCTCCAGACGCTGCTTGTTGGTGGCGGCACCCTCGGCGTTGTGGACCTCGAGCTCGATCTCGTGGAAGAGCTCCTCGGGGATGCTCGACAGGACGGACTGCAGGGCCTCGATCTGGGTGGACATCTCGGCCTCCTTACCGCCCTGGGCGTAGACGTAGGCGTTGCTCAGCACCAGGAGCGTGGAGGGGACCCCCTGCTTCAGACGCAGGTCCAGCCAGACGGAGAGGTCCTCGCGCAGGCGGGCGGGGGAGACCCCGTGCGTGCGGATGCCGCGGGAGGCGCACGCCATCTGCAGCTCAGGCACGGACAGCGACTCCACGCCCTCGTAGAAGATGGCCCGGTCGTCGCGCTTGATCTGGCGCATGCGGTGGCGGATCGTGTACCGGAGCATCGCGTCCGTGCCGAACGAGTTGAGGTTCATGTACTTGCAGATGCCCACCAGCTGCGGCCGCGACAGGTTGTCCAGCGTCAGGTCGTCCTTGAAGATCTTGCACACCTTGATCACGTCCTCCGGCGTCGGCGACTCGCCCGTGGTCCGGATCTTCTTGAAGAACTCGGTGAACTCCTCGTTCTTCACCGTCGCCGCCGTCACGGGGAGGCCCGATTCCCGCAGCGTGTCCTTCAGGAAGCCCGAGACCTCCTTCCGGGTGGAGCTGAGCTTCAACGCCTTCTTCTCGCGGCCCTTCTGGCCCTCGTAGGTGCTGGGCAGCATGTTGGGGAAGAGCTTCAGGGCGACCGGAAGCAGCAGTTCGGCGAAGGGGATGATGACGAACATGGAGAATGGAACCAGACGTCCCAGATCGGACACCGTTCTGCGAAGCTATTTTCATTGAGAGGCTGGATCAGCAAAGGCGTGTCTCCCTGACTGCACTGGCCGCGGAATCCTGCTGCAGTACTCACCTGGCGATGCTCTCTCCGGCTGAGTTCGTATCCCGCAGCCATTTTCAGCGCAAGGCGAGAACTGATCTTGACCTCGGTGGCCAAAAGCTTCGTACCGTCCCAGTAGTGCTGGGCTTCCTTCTTGATCTTCTGGCCGAGCGTCAACTTCTTCGTCTCCTTCTTCTCATCGGTCTTCTTGTCGGCATCCGTGCTCTTGGCCGTCGTCAATTCATTCGAGAATTCCGTGCCGGATGTCTTAGCGGGGGCCTTGACGGACTGTTCGGACGCAGGAACCACCTGTTTGGCGGACTGCTGCTGCTGCTGCTGCTGCTGCTCCGCAGCGAGCGGCTTCTTGGCTTGTTCGGCATTGAAGCCGGGGGGAGGGAGAGGGTCAGAGGAAGAGGATGTGGAAGAGGATGGCTCGGTGGCATAGCCACGTTGGTGGGGGACGAGAATCGCAAGGGCCGAGATGTGGGATGGCAGTCCTCTGCCGTTGAGGCGGAGGTTTGCGGCGGTGTTCGCAGCCAACGCTCCGGTCAAACGCGGTCGGACTAGAGACGCATCACATCTGAATTAGCCGTCACATTGGTCGCTAGCAAAGTATACCTTGCTACTGAATTGATCCGCCCAGCGATAAAAGCGGGATAACATACCGACCAGGTTTGAACGCAGCGCACCACTACCGCGCATAAGGCTAGCTGACCTCAGTGTGACGGACATGGCGAAGATCTAAATTGAAAAAGCTCGGGGCAACGAGCGAGGGCAACAGATATGCACAGCAATGCGAGATCGGAAAGTAGTCTGTAATCCCAGCGAAACACACAGGTATAATTGGAGGCGATAATAGTTTGGAATTCGGGGAGGGAAGTTTGTCGTCGTGGTGTCGTCGGCGAAGGTCTGGAGCAGAAGGTGGCTACTTCACGTGACCTCTCCGGTCTTCGGGGATAAAATGGATTTTGTCGCCGCCGAATCGGGAGCTCCGCCTCGCAGTCCCGTCCGCTTCTTCCTAAATCCCGAGCGAGTCCGCCTTCCTGCGAGTATTTCGGAGAACGTATCCTCCATTGGTGAGTCAGAGCCCGGGCACTCATGCAGATTTAGAGGGAAAATAAAATATGTCATTGGTTTTAAAAGAAAAATTCATTCAGTCATAATAAGCACAACTTCCGCTCCATCTAATGGCTACATCAAAACGCAGAACTAACTACACAGTCGACTAAAATCAGGCTAATCCAGCATTGCTCCAAGTGCAGAAAGGGAAGGAACGACTATCGAGTTGGGTATCGTATTGGAGCCATTCAAAATGCAATCGCGGGCCTAGAGAATGTGCAAGTAAAACCACTTAAGACCATAGAGAGTAAATAGTAAACCCTTCGCATAGATAGAAGAATCACGATCTTTCCCGCGCAGTGGAGTCGTTGCTGGGAACTGCAGCGCTCTCAACACCAGTAGAAGCCGCAGGGGCATCCAGAAGAGGGATTGCATCAATGCTAGCCTTGTTGGGCTCAGCGCTTCCGGCGGTAGTCGACTCAGCGTGGGCCTTGTCGGCAGAAGATGCGCCCTGGTCAGACGGTAGCAGCATTGGGCTGATGGCTCCCTCGGGAGACGAATGCCACCGCGCCACATCTTTCTTGAGTTCCTCCAGCTCTTTCTGGAAGCGCTTGCCAAAGATGTCAATGTAATATGTGGCACCGTTGTGCACACTAAGAATGAAGAGGGCGGTGAGGAAAGCTCCACTGGCCCACCGAGACCAAAACCAAAGAGGGCACGGGATCATCGTTAGAATCGCGTAGAAATATTGAATCAGCATGAAAGCCGGGGCTTGCAGGGATTCAGGGAGGCTCAAGACGAATTTGCCCAACCAGGTCTTTGCGTAGGACTTGCGGAGCCAGGTGAAGCTGGTCGGGCGCCCGGCAGCAATCTTCTCCGCGCGTCGGACTGTGATAAAGCAGTGATAGGCAGCCTGCCAGATCATGTATGGCACAGTTGCCCACCCCATCATTTCGAGGAGTGTGAAATGGTCGGGAGACCCGGGTTCGCTAAACTTAATAGCATAAATGGCCGGGAACCTTGCTTTCAAAGTGGCGGCAGATGTCAAATGGACCAGACAATGCAGAGTCACCGGTGGCATTATATGGATGAACAGACTATGAGTTCAGCTAAGCAGATGTTCTGATGGACAGGGGATTCTAAGAGCGCGCTTACCTGACTACCTTGTCCATACTGTGGAATACCATAGAGTTCCGCCACATGGCAATAGCCACCGCATTGTTGCCAAACGTCAGACAGAAGGTGCTGATGAACAGTCGCTTCGAGCCGGGAAAGACCCAGATGCTCAGCATGCAGAGCAGATTGACAAAGTAGCACAAATCGGCGAGGAAGTAGTGGTAGCCTCGCTTATGGTACCCATAGTATCGAATGGGCATGAAATACGCCAACTGTACGCTGAACCAGATGTAGAACCACTCCGGCCATCCTCCGAGAAGATAGCCACTGATGAATATGTTGAGGACACCGGCTATGAAGGAGATCTTTTCGCGCAGGGTCACAGTTGCGGTTGCGTTCCATTGCTTGCCCAGTCTCTCCACGCCAGTCTTCATTCGCCGACGATACTTGTCAAGCCGCTCATCGGCCGTCGGAACCCTTCTTTTCCATTCTCCCACGACACGTTCTTTAGCATTCAAAGAGGACGACTTGAGTTTCTCGCGTTGTTTCTGCACCTTTGCCTTCTGTGCATTCAAAGCTTGCTGCAGCTTCTCCAGCCTCTGGGATAGAGAGAAATTGTCCAGCAGATCGAAGACGCTGAGCTGGTCCAGGGCCGGAAACGTCTCCCAGTCATCATGATAGGAGAAGGAGGGGTTGCGCGAAAGTCGACCAGGTGAAGCTGGCGGTGAGTAGAAGGTATCGGGGGTTCCTGGAGCTTCGTCCGCGTCGGACAGCTCTTCAGCCATCGCGGCCTGAAGGGCAGGAGAGTCGCCGCTGACTAGCGACTCTGTCTTTCTGAATTCGGAGGATCCACTGCCTTCCTCCATCATGAGTCTCTGTTCGAAGGAGAAAATCGTAGGGCCGTCACGGTTGTGTGGATAAGGCCGGCTGAGAAAACGACCTATAGTTAGCATTCCCATCTTGACTGGCTGCGATTCCAAATCTTCCGAGCAACTCGCAAAGATGCAAGTGATGGTAGAAAACTGAAGACTGGAGAGAAAGTTTGGGGGTAAAGGGTTTTTATTGAATTGGGGCATGGTGGACAAATGCACGAGCAATTGACATACTGATAGGAGGCGGCAGATGATGTGCACCTAGGATCGGGGAAACTAATAAGGTAAGGTCGTACCAAGGTTGCTAACGATCCAATAAGTGAATGCGGAGGAAAATTTGGATGAGGAGTCCAGCCAGTGTGCTTCAGTACTGAAGGCGCATGACCGTAGCGGCAGATGTTGATCCAAGGGTCTTGAGGAGGAAGAAGAGAAAGAAAATGGGGGAGTTAACAGCAAGTGAGAAGGATGAGAATCTGGGTGTGCACGCGTTGACGTAGCTGGTTGGCCCGGGCGAGCCTGTTTGGGTTGCAGCCTCAGGCTGTTCACCGCATCGATGGAATTCATGGGATGATGATCGGATGCAGTGGAGTCCAACGGCCCGCTCCAAACCAATAGCCAAAGTGCCTGTCCCCACATGGCTTCTCAACCCCCGGAATCCTTCCTGCCTCAGGCTATCTAGTCAATCAACACCTAGTCGATTGAACAGTGTCTCATATGTAAATCAGGCGAGGGTCAATCTATCGGACTAAGCTCTACGATACGCGGGCATGACTATGTTATGGTTTGAAGGACTCAGAGCTGTTGTTCTGGTCGTATCATTACATAGTTCTTGAAACCCTGACATGTATGTATATACAACCTTGCAGATAAAAACTCACCTAGATCATTGATGGTCCCCGCAGAGATACAGCAAACAAAAGAGTATCAAGAAGAAAGCAGCAAGGTAGCCGGAAGGCACAGACTTTCTCATGAGAGCCAGCTTGTGATACATGCAGCACTCACAAGGAAAGCTCCCGCCCGTTCCAATGACAGTGATCAGTAACCATTGTATGGAAGGGTGGCCCAGTAGCTCGAAGTGGCACTCTGCCCACCGGGCGGATGTGCCACTTGCTGCGCGAAATATTCTGGCAAGCTTTGAGACACAGTAGATTGCATGTCTCGAAACGCACCAGGATCTCTATTTGACTTTGAGGTGCCACCGATGTCAGCTGGTTCCTTTGACAAACTGTTGTCCAGAGAAACTGCACGGCTGACTGTAGAGGATGACGCCGGAGAGAGAGAGAAGCAAGCACTTGGGCTTGCCGAGCCCTTCTCCGATAACGATGGGCTTCTGTCACTTGACTGGAACAATCTCTGGGGATGATCACTGTCTAGGCTCCGCTCTGCAGCCTCTGCTATCTTCTCTGTATCTGGAGTGAATTGTGTCGCGTGGGAATTGATAGACTTGTGGATAGTTTCAACAGCAGAGCAAGAGTCGTTTGTCGACTCCTGCAGCTCAGGGACATGACATTGATCAGCAAGGTGAGCATGAAAGACACGCACTGTTGTGTCACCACCTGTAGGATATTGTTAGCCCCTGGTTCGAATCGAGCGTGTCAAGGGCAATCTCGACTGTAACGTACTGATCTTTCCGTCCAAGTATAATTCTTCCATTTTCCGAACATAGAAGATCTCGTCCAAGACATCTTGCCGCCTCGTGGGCTGAATCTGACGTTTCACATCCTGGCCTGCCTCCTGGAGTTTTTCGGCTGTCACTCCCTTGCTGTCTTTCAGATTACACAGGATATGCACAAGCAACTTGATCCGCTCTAAGCGCCGAAGGGTGTTAGCATCGCATCAACTATATTAGCAATAAAGTCTGATCTCACCAGGCTTGAACAGGTGGTCGGGCTCTTTGTGTGTCACCCCAGCCGGCCACCAGTTGGGCTTGGTTAGCTCAGGGTCCATCCTCTGTGAAGCAGAAGCCGACGTTCGTCGGCCATTATACGGATGATTGACCTGCTTGCGGGGCTCTACTAGTTTGATGAATGCTTTGGCAATCACCCTGCAGTTCAGCTGTTGGAATTTGTCAAAAGCCCTTTCGTAGTAGTGCCGAAGGGTTTCAGTGTCCCCCAGTCGAAGGATTGTTGCTCTTGTTTCTGAGCTCTGCTCATTTTCCGACGTCGAACCTGGAGCTGAAGCTGAATCGGTCTGTCTTAAACTTCTTCGGGGACGCTTGAAACGCAACGACACCAAGTCACAGGGTATGAGTCCGGCCGGTCTTGTTGTGGTTGGATGATGGGGCCAGGAAGAGGAAGAGGAAGAGGAAGAGTAAGTCGCCGCCGCTTCATCTCCGGACATGTGACCTAAAGGATTGTCTGCTCGGAACACACCTCTTCATTACTCATGCGTTCCTTCTTCGACAGACGGACCTCTGACTTACTCGTATTCAGCTGCCATGCTGAGGCCACAGACCTCAGGAATCTCCCCTGCACCTCCTCTGTGAATATCTCTCTCTCTCCCCCTGCAATGGAAGGGGACCCTTCTGAGCGGAGTTGTCCACTATGGTCAATATACATCACCGCATAATGGGAACAGCGCAAGGCAGAAGCCAGTCGTTGCATGTCCTATGCACATCATGTCATAAGTCAGATGACATATCGTTTCTCCGGCGGTTTGGGGGGAATTCTTACCGTGTGGCTCGACTGAGCAGTCATATCGTGGGACGACAGCAGATGCTCACGGTCCGACCCTTTAGCTTCCATCAGCCGATTTGTTGCAACCACTTCACAGTTTGGACTTGTCATACCTTCAAGATACAAGGATCACTGCGTCCAATGATGCCGGTTGTCTTTGTGTATAAATGAAAGCGGCCCACTCGGATAACTTGGAAACTGTGATATTGCGCCAGCAGATACAGGTATTTCTTCGTGAACAGAAGCTCCGAGGGTAGTAGATTGAGATGTATCTTAAGCTCAATTCTCCAGGTCTTGAGCAACAGGTTATATAGGCGCGCTGCCACCATGTATCCCAGAGAAGGCGCCGACTGAAACTTCCCATCGGGGTCGACGATCGAGAGCAATACGAGGCCCGAACAAAAGTACCTGTGTCGACATTGAATTACACTTGACCCTGTCAGTGGGGTTTAACCCAGCCCGGTGGCGGTTCTGACGTGCAAAACTAATGCAAGAATAACAAATAACCCCCAGGCAGAGGCCAGGCACTATTGCACACAAGACTTTGTCATGCTCCGCATACTATAGCCTAACCCCGGTACGAGTATGGTGCCTGATGGATTTTTACCTTCTTTATTTGCCTCCAAATTTCCGGTTTTGTGTCATCCAAGATTGCATATGGCTGCCTCAACTCCCCCCGGCGCCCAAACTAAGACTCAATCTGGTGATGTCAAATGGATGTATTCGTCCGACTGCATCATGCAGAAGCATACTATCAATATTTTGCGAGGTCGCGCCAACGGCGCATGGCACAGCGAGGTCTCCCTCGGGGGCATTCTGGCGGTGGATTCGCAGCTTTGGAAAGAAGGCGAGCATGCCTGGCCGCAAACCCGCAAGGATCTCCGATATGAGTACAGTCGCACAGGCAAACGGCCCCGAAGGTCCAGAACAGGATGACGAGATACGGAGCCATTATCTCTAACTAGTCACGGTTTTCACCCGAGGCGTATGTTACGAGTACATCTACTGGTACTTCATCTCAATCTGCGATCGGCGAGTACGCTTGGCTCCAATGTTCACAATTTGAGAGAGACATGCGTCTCGTCCAATTATCATCTGATTTGGCTATTTTTCTGATTATCTGCGACACCAATGGCGTACGCAACTGATGTGCAAAACCAAACTTCCTGCAAGAATCAGCAGCTAATTCGCTATTTCTAGCAGCGAAGATCACATGGCTTCGGAAAGTACTCGGAACCCATAATCGGAAATTGATGATAGGCTGCTGCTGTCAATTGCTGCCATCCTTGTGGCATGTTGGTGCTACGGCAAGTCACTTACTATCTCCGTACAGGAATAGTATCGCTAGAGTGACAGTTGACCGACTCTGACTTCGGCTTTCTACCAGTGGGAATAATTCCATGCTTCAGGTCACTCTGGATTAACTTCGCTGATGTTTTCGATTTAATCTCTGCCCTAGGAGCTAGTGCGCTTATTGCGGAGGTTGGGCGTAACCCACTGTACCTGGGTGTCAGAGCGAGCTCGTAGCCTGACCGCTGATCGCACTGATACTTTTTTTTCCCAGTCGCTTTCATGAATGGCTCAACAACAAGGTTTCAAACTGTAACGCAGTGTCCCTTAGTGGCGCACGGAAGCGACCTCAGTTTCCCGATATGCTTGTGCGATCTCGAGCTTGTATGTCGGTCGATCCGGATCTTACCCTCAAGACCACTCTTCAGAGTGCTCTTCCAACAGACCAAAGAGGAAATCCCAGGGCCACGAATTGAATAGCATCCAGTTGCCTTCAATTGCATTGTTTCTGGCGAACAATCGATGCAACGGCAATCGCGGATCTGGCATCCGACTATGACGATTGGCCCAAGGCATTTTCACCGATCCTGCAGTCAGAACGGTCAAAGGAGGTAGCAAACATAGAGCTCCCTTGGAAAGCTGATTGCCGATCGACTTGCATACTAACCTGCTAACCTACTGTTGCAGTAACTCAATCGGGAAAAGTCAATGAATGATGCAACAGGGAAGATAAGTTGACTACTCCAGTACTACTGTAAGTAAGCAAGTAACGGCCGTCTTGACTCGGGTGCGGGGAAGTTGGCAATGAATCCAACCCTTCTTCGTCGACTTCATTTCCAAGCAAACAACTCGCCACTCTCTCCTTCAGGAGCATCTGTCAATTCTATCTCACCACCCTTTCTATCTCGTCAAGGTCATGGAACGCAATTGCCATTCTGGGAGACCTGCAGCCAGCAAAACATCCCCGTCCGTACAGAATTATGCGGGAGTGTATTCTTCCAGGAATTTCGACATAGTGGCTTGCAGAATTCGGGATCTGAGCACTCGCTGCTTCATACGGGCCAAGCGAAAAGACCACATCCCTTCAAAATTAATGACAGTGCCATGTGTCATGATCATTCCTGCCATGGCGCTGGAATGACTTGCCAAGCCGATCCATAATCAAAGTTGTGCAGAAGTGACCTGTCTTTCGGTTCGTGACGGGGACTCTCTACCGGTAGCTGATCTGCTGCAGGAAGAAAAAAGTGATCAATCGAGCTGTGTGTGTGTGTGGTCTAGTCTACCGCGCAAGGCATCCATCCGTCCTCCAAAGTCTATCCAGCAATGCCATAGCCAGGTCTGTGGCTCCGAGAGTTTACATATCGCACCACTAATCCGGACTTAGAGTTTTCTATACACCGATCATTTGATCTGTCGACTCCCCTTTCCACGCAACGGAGGATACGGGATAAAACTGATTATTGACTCCACACACAAGCTCACGTCCCGCTGTGGCTGGGCTTTCAGCGACGACTCACCACTGACCTGAATCATGTTATGTTTAGCTCATCCGAAATTGACTATTGACTTCTGCCTTACTGGGATTGGGGCCAAATGCTCCGAAACTTCGGTCTGGTCATGGATCGACCAGGAACTCCACCCCACTGCCTTCTCCATGGCTCTGAAACATGATGGGCAGGCTTTTGACGTCAAAGCTCGGCCTCTCCCAACGCGGAGGTCGATGATCACGATGGTGGACGTGCTTGCCTCTCCTGATCGGCTGGCAGAACGGAGTCCGTCACTCCGTACATCAGACTGAATGCTTTACGGGAGTGGGCCACGAAGTCAGGAAAACAGGTGGATGTGGTGTATCCTGAGGTAAGTTACGAGGAATACAGGGTAACTTCGTGGACATGGATCGACAGCTCCAGCTCGACAAGACGTGGCTTAGCATCGTGAGATGCGCGAGCCCCTGTTGAGAGCCCAGTATTCAATTCTCTGCAACGATGCGCATCTTCCCAGTGCTTGCTATAAGGCTGCTGCAAACACGGCAGCCTGCTTTGCCATGCTCGACAATCTGAAGAGCAACCCCCTCTTGGAAAGCCATCCATCCTGCCTTCACTATCCGAAAATATGACTCCTACCACGTCAAGAGAGCAGCGCTCGAATAAGGAACCTCGATGCTCACTGTTCCGTCTCGGCTAACCGAAACTGTCTCCCCCGCCGTGATGTTTGCCAAACGCACAGGCTTCCCATTGTTCAGTTCATAATTGTACGACAATCCATCCCAGGTGATCCCCGTGATAGCGTCACTACCGTTGGCTATCAGCCGCTGCACTGAGACAGTAGTTCCAGCAGCAGATGAGGGCACTTGAAAAACATAAGACGCGTTGGGTCGTTGGCTGCTGCCCGTCGTTGTCGACCCGGTGTAATTGAACTCCACCAGGTTGATGACAGCAATCCGGGCCAAGCCACCGTTCACGTACGCGGCATATGCGGCCTCGGTGTCTCGCTTCAGCGGAAGGTTGGCGATCTGGACATCGTCCTTCTCGCCGCCCTCGCCGCCGTGGAGCATAGCCGCCACCATGACGTTGCCGTAGTAGGGCGCCTTGGTGCCAATGGTGGTTCTGTTGGTGTTGACCGGCTGCCAGGAGGCGTACCGAAAGTCGCGTCCCTGGTGCATGTGGGTCCGTCGGATGTTCTGCGACGCGCAGTAGAGGTTGAAGTCGACGCCCCAGAGCGCCGCGCCGAACGAATTGGAGAGCCCCGACGCGCCTTCGTTGTACAACGAATTGGTCTCCCCCAAGATGTACGGGATATTCGTGGTCAGGTTCTTTTCAAGCAGGATGGTCGAGACATTGACATGCTGCGCGACGCTCTGGACCGTCATCGTATGGTTCATTAGTGTCTTCTGCAGTGTAACGCCCGGTTGCGTGGCGCCGCCAATGTAACTATGCCAAACTGTCTGTCAGTACACCGGCAGGCTCCCCACACACACTCTGGGCGAACAGCAAAACCAAACCAAAAGAGAGAGAGAGAGATAGACGCACTTATGCTCCGAATTCAGCGCGATATTCCCCTTCCTGTCAAGCCCATTCTCCCACGTCACCACGGGGTTCAAACTATTGGAGACCCCCGCAAACGACGGCGCGATATACTTGGCGTTAGCGCATTCCTCCCCGCCGGCGCACGACGCCCGCATCTTCTGCTGGATGGCCGTCGTCTTATTCACCCACTCATTCACGTAGTCCCGCTCCGTCCAGGTGGGGGGCCGCACCGCCCCCTGCGCCGAGGTCTTGTAGAGATCGGGCTCGTTGCCCAGCTCCCAGTAGGCCAGCTTGCCCCCGGCCAGCGCCTCGCACACCAGCGGCACCGTCTCCAGCAGCTGTGCGAACTGCGCCGAGGTGTTCCGGCCCAGGTTGAAGCCGTGGATGAACCGGGCTCCCGGCCAGGTCGAGTAGGACTCGAAGTACGAGGGCCCGATCGTCAGGAGCAGGGGGTAGTCCGTGCTGATGCTGGGGACATAGGTGCCGTTCGTCGCGGTGGGGAGGGTCGGGTCGTAGAGGGCGAAGTCTCTTTGCTGGGTGTTAACAAGAGATACCTAAACAGATGCAGAGGCAAAGACTTACTGCGTAATCCCTCCCACCCGAATAAAAGGCTTCACCCCCTCCAACTCGGCCAGATTATCCAACAAGTTATTCGAGAAGGTGTTCGGATGAGATCGATTCCCTTGAATCATCTGGTCTTAGCCGTGAATTCTTTGTTGCATACACCACCCAAACCATCCCCACCCCAGAAACACAAAAAAAGGGCATATCCCATTTCCCCCCCATCATACTACACCATTCCCACAAAAGAATAGGGCAAGAGGAGGGAAGATCATACCCGCATAATCCGGAAAGAAGACAAACTCAATCGAAAACGACACAAACGGATGCAAGACGGGCAAGCCAGCGGATTCGGGGACGGATTGGCTCACGACGATGACAGAAGAAGAAGAGGAGTTGTTAGGTGATGTGACGGCTGGAGCTGCGGTGACGGTAGTGCTCAGCGCCGCTAGGGCTGCGGTGAGTAGCTGATGACCATGGTGGTGGAGGAGCATCATTGTTGCTGTTTTTTTGAACTCGTGTAGTCTTAGGGTATATCAATAGATCTGGGGTATAGGTCGTTTATGTAAAGACGGAACTGCCAGTGTAGTGGTCCCTGACATGTACATGGTGGAACATTTGCGTCCTATGGTCCGGGGGTATATATACCATTGCATCCTGTGCAGCTCCGCGGCTATGGAACGGGCAAGAGGAGGCGGCCATTGACTCGCCTGCAATGAACGTAAGTGCGATGTAACTTCATAAGGATCATTAGGGGTTTATTGGCGGAGTTGAGGCCGGAATTCTTCCGGGGGTCAGGGATTAAAGAGAGCTGGAGATGAAAGGGTCTGCGGGGATGGCGGGGGTGGGAGGGACGATCTTTGGGGGTTGGGGGTTCACTTCACTTGCGAGAGGCTAGGGCTCTGCTGTCGAAACTGGCTGGTGTCGTGTCGTTAGATCCGGACCTCTCTCCGTGATCGGAGTAAGGTCGAAAAGTGTCTGGCCTAGAAGACGAACCAGGGTGGGAATCAGGAAAAGCAGAAAGAAAAGTCCCATTAATCCGTTGCACGATAGCTAAAACCATTTTGCTCATCAAAGAAAGAAACAACAAGACCAGACCAGAGAATGATATATTCTACACATCACACCAGAGTCAAGTAGCCCAGTCCACTCCACCCAATCTTTCCGAATCATTGTTTAGTTGTATTTACGGAGCTGCACGAACGGAAGCAATTAGTATCTCATTTAGCGAGGAGTTCGGGAAAAGAAGGGTTCTCACATCAAGAGTCAGAGATTTACTGCTGTTTTCCACCTGATCTCGGTAGATTCCAACCAGGGCTTCACTGTTTTGGAACAGTCCGTTCTTCAGACTAATGACGATAAATTGCATGCCCGGAGCAGCGTGGTCGTGGATGTAGTTGGCGATGCGAGCAACGTTGGTGTTGTCGAGGGCAGCATCGACTTCGTCCAGCACGAAGAAGGGTGACGGTTGGTAGGAGTGGATCGCAAATAACAGAGCCAGAGCGGCCATAGTCTTCTCTCCACCGGACAGATGTTCCATGTCCCGGAAACGCTTCAGCGGAGGCATGGCGTGGTACTTGATACCGTCGAGGTAGGGCTCGTCCGAGTCCTCGATATCCAGGTAACTGCCATTCTGTTAGCACAGGGTCGAATGGAAGGAGCTCCAATCAGGCTTACGCTTGGCCGCCCAGTGGATAGTTTGCGCTCTTCGTCAATTCGCGGTAAATCGGACCGATTTGCTCGGAGATGTGAGAGAAGGCTTTGTTGAAGAGATCTGACCGCTGGCGCATCACATCTTCAAACTCGTCCTTCGCCTTCCGAGCCCGCTTCCGAGCATCTTCAAAGTCCTTCTCCGTGGCTCGAAGCTTGTTCTCCACGCTCTCTAACCGCTCCATAGCGCGTGTATTAGGTGCCATCTTGTCCAACTCGCTGTTGAGAGACCGGACCTTCTCGAGCAGTTCTTCTTCGAGCTTCTCGTCATCCTCCTATGATCGAATTAGTGGAAAGTCTTGTAAATCTGACGCCGAGTAACCTACCTCTTTGAGAGTGTCTCCAAGAGAGTCGAAGTCAACCTCGATGCCATAGTCCTGAACGGTAAAGGCGTCTCCAACCCCGTTGGCATCTTCATCCACGTCCATGGCGTCTGGATCCGCTGCTTGCATCAAATCGTCAATGGGAAGCTGATCCAAGGGGTTGGAGTCGTCTGTCAGCGGGATATCGATATCTTCCAGCTTACAACGCCGGAGAAGAGCATAACGACTGGACGAATTGCGTTGTATCTCTGCCTCAAGGGCATTGACATTCTTCAAAGTGCCCTCAACTTCTCTGGTGCGCTTCTGAAGCTCCCTCCGGTGATGTGTCAGGTTCTCCGCCGACTGAGCATATGCCTCCTTCTGCTCCTCGAGCCGTTCTCGAAGAACGTCAAGTTCAGCATTGTACTCATCCATTTGGTTTCTGATGCGCTCCTGTTCGGCCTGAAGCTCCTGGATTAACTCCTCGTCACGTTGATGCTGTGCCTGAAGGCTAGCAATGCGGTCGACCGTAGCCTGCAGTCGCTGCCGCTCAAAGCTTAGCTGGTTCTCAATCCTGCTCTTCTGCGTCGTGAACTCGAGCTTCTTTTGAGCTGCCTCCTCCTGCAATGATCCCTGCTGAACCTCGTACTCGCGGATGTTGGCATAGCCCAAACGTCTGCAGAACTTTTTGTACACTTCATCCTCTACGCTGCTGACCTTCTGTTGAGATGCTGCAATAGTCTCATCGAGTTCCTGTAGTGAATCCTCGCGCTCAGACAGCTTCGGTCGCATTTCTTCGAGCTGACTTCTGACGAATTCTAGTTCGCTGTGTTTGCTCTCGAGGTTTCTCTCGAGTGCTTTGAGCTCGTCCCGAGCGTAGGCAAGACGTTGCTCCAGGCCAACCAAGTCACCTTGTAGCGTCTCCTCTTCGGTGCCGCGGCGATGGCCCTTGGGTAGGTTGGCAAGATCGGCCAACAGCTTGTCTTTGAGCTTGTACAGATTCTCCACCTCAGAGTCCTCCCAGCGCTTGGAGTGCTGCTGAGGCCCTTTACCACCGGTCATCAAACCGCCCTTGTGAATTACAGTGCCATCGAGCGTGACGGCCTTGGCATCCACGTTTCTCTCATAGCAAAGATATTTGGCGGTCGCCAGATCATCGCACACGATTGCATTCCCGCATGCGTAGCTAATAGCTCTGGCAACCGAGTCATCATAGTCGACGGTCTCGATAGCCGGACGCATTCCGCGGTGGAGGCCCTTGAGGTTCGAGTTAAAGGCCTTGACCTGGATTGTCTCGAGTGGGATAAAGGTGGCCTGGCCGGCTCTTTGGTCGCGGAGGTGCTGGATGCACTCCTTAGCTGTCTTCTCATTGTCAACAACAATCGCGTCAAAGTGCCGACCCAGGACAGTGCTAACTGCCTCGGAGTACTTCTTCTGCTTGGGCTTGCAAAGGTCACTGACGCGGCCCTTGACTCCCGGGAAAATGCGCTTGAGGGTCGAAATCAGTTCCTTGGCTCTAATCTCTCTCTCAGACTGCTTCCTCCCATCATCTGCGTCCAGCAGTTTCTTCAGGACGACCTGCAACTTTTCTTCCAATTCTGTTCGCATCCGTGATACACGCAGGCGCTCAGAAGTCACAGCATTGAGTTCCTTCTTCTTGCGGTCTATCTCCTTGGAAGTTGTCTTGACTGTATCGTTGAGGGCGGTTTTGCGTTGGGCCAAGGTCTGCGTCTCAGATTCCAAGGTTTTGAATTGCCAATCGGCCCCTTCGAATTTGCTCTCGAGGCTGTTCAGGGCTTCGGCTTCGGTCTTCCGCTGACGGCGCAGGTTGTCGAGGTTCAGTTGCTCAGCAGACGATCTCTTACTGACCTCTTCCTTGAGCTTTTCGTACTCGTGCAAGTCAGCCTCACTCAGCTGGCCGCCCTGCTTGCTCATCGTGTTCTGCCATTCTGCCTCCCACTGAGCCCGTGCCTTCTCGACAACCTTGAGATCCTTCTCCAGCTGTTTCACATTCGCCGATTGGGTATCTTTTTCGCGGGTAATTTCTGCGATACGAGAAGCAAAGCGTTCGACCTTCTTCCTTGTGATATCGACCTTCTCATCAACGGGGACGAGGGCGTTGGCAGCCTCTTCAATGTCCTTCTCTTTCTTGACAATGTTCCTCTCCGCCTTGGCGACATCCCGACCGACCATGGCGTGGCTCTTCTTCGCGTCCTCGACATTCTTCTCGTACTTCTCAACACCGCGGCGGAACTCCTTCAGCTCATCCTGGTACTTCAAGATATCCGCACTGGATGCGTCGATCAGGCGCTGGAAATGGAAGAGCTTCCACAGAATGTGTGTGATGATCGCTTGATCGCGTTCCTCGGCCTTTCTGGCGTAGTTCTCTGCTTCCCGCTTCTGTTCCTGATACTGTTTGATCTCCGAGTTGATTCCGCGGCGGCGGTTCAGCTGCACGGTCTGTGATTCCGCAGCCTCCTCAGCCTCCGCTTTCAACCGTTCATACTCAGCCTTGTACTCCAAGCTGCCCGAGATCTGCTCGATCAGCCGCGTCAGGTCCCTGGGGGACTGCGATGCGATCGCCTCGACGTCACCCTGGAAGACGAGGAAGTTGCGCGCTTTAATCAGGATGTTCTCGGCCTCGAGCGCCTCGTTGTACTGCTGCGCGGTGACCGCGCGGTTGTTGATGCGGTACTCGCTGACACCCCCGCTGGTGATCGACCGCCGCCATTGCTGTTCCTCGCCCGCATCGTCCTCATACACCGCCATGACCCATGCGGTCCGGGGGTCATTCGATCCGGTCGGGTCCTGGGACTGTTCGCCGTCGATCTCGTCTTCGGGCTGCTCCTCCCCGTCCGCGGCTCCGTCGATGGCATTGCCGTTCGCATCCACCTTGGATGTACGCAGGACACGACCGCGGTAGACTAGGTCGCGGAGGTTCGTAGATCGCAGATGGGATGATTTGATACCGAGAACGAACGAGATCGCATCCATCCTGAGATTGATAGTCAGCATAAACTACCCCTTCGCGATGCGTGTTCCGCGGAGGTATTCATTCCGAGGTGGGTGGGAAAACGCACGAGTTCGATTTGCCGGACCCGTTGGGCCCGATGATGGAGGTGAAGTACGCATCGCCGAAGAGGAGGGTGTGGTGACCCTTGTAAGATTTGAAGTCTGATGTAGCGGTCAGTGGGCGGTATGGGGTGTCAATCAGATGAGGTTCTGCATACTAAAAAGCTCGAGTCGGATGAGCTTCCCCATTTTGCGACAGAGGGGTCGCGCGTTGCTGCGACCGCGCGAGAAGACGGATTCAGAAATGCAGATATCGGATGCAGAGGAAATGGAGGAGCTGCGCCCACCACGGAATGGGGAGAAGGCTGGATTAGCCCGGGCTGCACGGAGCAAGTGTGGAGGGGCTCGCGCAGCATTCACTACTTTGGTTATCTCGAAGTCGCGTCACGGACGGTTGATTGATTGGGGGGGCGGAAGACGCGCTGCGGAGAGGGTCACGTGGCTGTCATATTTACTTCCACTCAAGTCCCTTGTATCGACTCTAGTTACTACGCCTATCCTCTACTTACTACGCTTATCTCTTTCTTGAAGGAAGATCTTGCTTAGTGCTAGTTTTGAATGCTAGTTTCTACAATATGTACATGGTAGTAGTAGGAGGCGGTGGGGCTAAGTCAGAATGCAGCAGCCCCAAAACATAAGCCCAGCGTATAGCAGTGATAAAGTAAGGAACAAAGGTTGAGTATTTGAGACATCAAGAGAAGAATATCGTACAGGTCGAGAACTCACGTCTAGCGTCTCACAGTCACCGGGTTGCCAACGGACAAGAAGTCCTGCGAGACGTACCCAGCCGCATCCATGCGGAATTCACCCTTTTGACCATCCACTTCTATGAGGATAAAATCCTCGCCGGTGAACAGCTGACGAATCGCCCGAAATGTCTTGTAAAACATCATACTCATCTTCTTCAGCGGTTGTCTGAAGAAGCTCACTTGGGCGCTCTGCTGGATCGTGCTTCTCTTACTAGCGGCATCAGGGGAAATCACCAAACGACGGGCGAAGGCAACCTGGCGAGGCAGAGCGTCGAATTCATACGGTTTGCGGAATGGAATGAAGCTGCGAACCGTGAACCTAATGTAGGCCTCCCCGTTCTTGTTGACAGCTTTGACGGTCCTGATCAACTTGTTCGTTTTGGCCATGAAGACAGTGCCCATCACACTCATCATGACACAGATACTTCCGAATGTTACCTTCTGCCACATGGGGAGAGGTGCGATCGGGTCGCGGAAGGTGATATTGCTGTTATACACCGAGTACGCGAAGCAAAAAGCCGTGATCCCGTAGGCACCTAGTACGTAGCTGCGGTGTGAGGGCGCTTGGAACAGCATCAGTTCTCCCTTGGGTTCTTTTGCGACTTTGGCAGCTAATCGGCCTGAGCCCGCAGGCCGTCTGCCCGCGAATCTCAATGTATCTTCGGCCGGCTCCTGGGCTTTGGGCTGTGGTGCAGCGGGCTTCTTAGCCTTAACGGCAGCCTTTGCTCGCGGAGCACTGTACGAGAAAAATCGCCATACTGGACTTGAGGTCTGGAAATTCGAAGAGAAGGTACTCCGGGGACATTGCTGGGCGAATGCCCGGAAAGCAGAAGGTCGTGTAGCAAACATGATGGGTATAGTGTCGCGTTGGGAGCCTGGAATCAAGAGCGAAATAACAATTAGCATGCAGATCTAACTCCGGAGAGTCGAGAGAAATGCAATTGAGCTTACCTTCGACCAGCCACAGCAAGTCAGCGATTGAGCTGGTGAATGCGCAACTCCGTTTAAGCCCGTTGTTATCCGCGGCAGAAAAATGTTCCCGTCCGGGCCATCGGTGAGACTCCCAACAACCTCAACATCCCCGGACATTCACTCCTCCTTGTCGCAGCGCCATTGCCCCCGGCCCGAATGTCTTGCAGCTTCTAAATACAGATCGCGACCATCTAGACGACCTCGCCGAGCTCCTTGAACTCTATCGTCATCGTGGTGGTGGGTTCCTAAGTGCGATCCTTGGTTTCCCGGGTTTCCCAGCTGCAGTGCCTCGCGACTTTCTCGAACACCACTTTATTATCTCCACCACTTGAGAATCGATTCGATTCCGACCTACCACAACAACAACAACAACAACAACAACAACAACAACAACAGAGATGGCCTCCAGCTTCCCTTTGCGCCGACTTCCGGCCGCTCTTGCCCGTCGCCAACCCCGGGTTATCAACACTTCGAAGCGTGAGTTTTCCGCCGACTCCGAAGGGGGGGAAAGAAAGAATATCACCATCGCCCTCTTCTCCACCAGACACAACCAGCCTTCACTTCAGCCCTCATATCCGAGCACAAGCACAACCTCCACGAGCCCTCACCTCCCTCCGCTGCACACACACAGACACATACACCTCGCTAACAAACCCATCCATCCACACTACAGGCCTGAACTCCACCGCCGCCGTGCAGTACCAGAACCCCGCCTACCCGCTCTACCCATCGGTCAGCAGCCTGCTGCACGAGAAGGGGATCCCGGAATCGGAGATCTCCAAGATCCCCGCCACGGGCCCCAAGGGCCGACTCCTGAAGGGCGACGTCCTCGCCTACCTGGGCAAGATCCCCGCCGAGTACCCGGCGACCCAAGCGGCGCGCTTCGCCAAGCTGGGCCAGCTGGACCTGAGCAACATCAAGATTGTCGCTGCTGAAGCCCCCAAGCCCGCCGAAGCTGAACCCACCCCCAAGCCTGCCGAAGCCCCCGTCTTCCGTCCACCTCCCACCACCCGCGTCGCCGTCCCCATCTCCCTGGCCGCCGTGCTGCACGCCCAGAAGCGCCTGCAGGACAAGCTGCACATCACCGTGCCGCTGTCGACCTTCCTGGAGCGCGCCACCGACCTCGCCAACGAGGATCTCCCCCGCTCCGTGCGCGAGCAGCTCACGGCGGACGAGCTCTTCGACGAGCTCGTCCTCGGCGCCGCCCCCGCCCGCACCTCCCGCGGCGAGTACTTCCCCGAGTTCAACGCCGAGGAGGCGGCAGCAGCAGCAGCGGACGCCGTCGTCATCCCCAAAACCAAGTCCGTCACGGAGGATATCATCGACATTCTGGCCGGCAGTGGCAAGGCCGCCGCCAAGAAGGTGGTTTCCTCGGTTTCCTCGGTCACCGGCGCAGCGCCGGCCGCGGGCGCGGCCAACGTCTTCAGCTTGACGGTCCCCGTGGGCGATGAGAAGAGAGCTCAGGTTTTCTTGGACCGCGTCAAGTCGCTGTTGACGGTTGAGCCGGGCCGGCTTGTTCTATAGATCTGTTTTTTTTTTTTTTTTTTTCGCCTGCTATTTTTTTCTATTCATCCCCGTGCATGTCTCGTTTTGGAATGACGTTTCCTATTTTTTTCGCCCCCATCTTGTAAGTACTGATAGCCCTAACGGGGAGGCCTTCTTTCTGCGTCTACTTTTCCGCAGCTAATGCTCGTCAAGTATAGCATACACACCCACACACACATATACAACATTTACAACTCTCACAGGTAATGGAATGAAACCAAAGTGCATTTTGATGTGCTGGTAGTGAGCTGGAATTATCAAATATAGAAATCAAAAATTTCCTTCAAGATGCCAAATTTGACTGAGCTTGTGCGCTGAGTCGCCTGCAAATCACATCTAAGAAAAAGCTCATGGTGGTTGTATTGTCTTACGTAACATCTTTCCCGTCAGAGAGCTGCTATTCCTAGCTCATCATGCGCGGTATGAATAAATGCTTTGTTGGGCTTGCGGCTTGATCGCCAGCTCTTCATCGGTTGCCGATAACGGGGTAAGTAGTGAGAGGGAACAGAGAGATTCAAAGTATATCATGCCATTAGGATGAAGATGAGACAGCAATGGGAGAAGTAGGGGAGAGGAGCAACGCCTCGGTCTTGGTTTCACCTGAGAAACACCATGAGCGCCGCTGCTGAGAAAGAGACTTCATATCTTTGGGTCAAACTGGAACTGCGCTTGCTGGAACTCCAAGGCCCAAGGAAGGCCGCGAGAAAGGAAAATCAAGGGAATAAAGAATAAAGGGGAAGCCGTGGTAGTAGAATGGAAAGAAAAAAAGACATGGGCCAAAGTACATGTGGTGAGAATCAGATGAGGTCCAGTCAAGCGCGCGATGTGCATGCAGAAGGGGAAAACTTGCGATCGCCCATGTAAATGCCGTGAAAATTCACAAGATGCGAGAAATGCCAATAGGAAAACCGTGAGAAAATGACCATCCCCCAGACCGTCCAAGGACATGCCCAGCATCGAATAAACGCCAATGCCCTGGAACGCCGAATCTAATGCATATCGGAAACTGCTAATAAATAGTCAAGCGTGACATAGCACAAAGGTTCAAGGGCGACTAGTAGCCGAGGCTCGAGGCTGTCACCGAATAGTACCCCATTCAGCCAGCTTACTGCCTTCACGACCGTGCTCTCTTCCTGGTCTTTTGTTGAAGATCTTCCAGAAACGTAAAGTCTCGTCGCCAGCACCAGTGACGACTGTTTGACCATCCGGACTCATAGCCAGGTAAAGTACACGGAAAGTATGCCCAGTCAAAGATACGATTTGCTCCATGCGGGGGTATTTCCAGATCACAATCTGGTTTTGACTATACCCATGAGTGCTGATAATCTCATCCGAGTTTTTCGACCACGCCAGGTTACAGACCTGGCTTCCTGTGTCAACCTCTTTGATTAAGGATCCTGTTGACGTGTTCCAGAACTTGATAGTTCGGTCCGCCGTTCCACCACCCGAGGCTAGGAGATGGTGTTGATGAGGCGACCAAGCAATTGCTTTGACTGCGGCTGTGTGGTCGGAGAAGCGATAGAGAGGAGTTTCGTTCAACTTGTCCCAGACCAACAATTTGTTGTCGTTACCGCCAGAAGCTAATTGGCCATCTTCCGTGTTCCACCTGAGACCACACACCTCTTGCTTGTGACCGGACAAACGGCGCAAGAATTGATCTGGCGAACGAACATCTCGGTGGAAAATCAGACGATCTCGTGACCCTGAGGTCAGAATGTGGTCGTTCCAGGCTAACGCTCCGACACGGTTAGTGTGCCCGATCATCGTTCTTAGACGGCGACATCGCTCTGCGTCCCAGATTTGCACGAGTCCTTTGCCTGTTCCAATTGAAAGGTGAGTACCCTAAATTAACCGGAATTTGAGTCAGTATCGAAGACTTCGGCTTGCTGAACATCTGACACCTACCCGTTGAATCCAGCTCACACTCGTGACGGTATCATCTTTCAGTTCACACAGTTTCGTAACCCTTCCAGTCTGCGAATTCCACATATAGACCGAATTACCTAGACCAACACCAAGAACATTACTGCTTCCCCAATCTACCAGATTCAGATAGAAGTCATCTTGTAAATCGGGTGCGTCAAGTACTTTATACGGCACTTTGTTAACGTAGCGAGGCTGTTTGCGGGGTGTTTCTAATATCCGTTGGCTGTCGTATCGGATCGGGGAAAGGCTGTAGAGCTCTGACCGAACGTTCAGGTTCGGACCATGTTGACTTCGAGGAGTCTTAGATGGCGTCGGATGACCAGATCCAGCGCGTGAGGAGGCGTAGTTGAAAAGATTTTTATGGGGAGTGGACGGCGTTATACTGGCTGGGGGGAGGCTCGATACGACATGTGACGGAGGGGTATGAGAGCGAGTCTTGTCGTTAATTCCGTTCGCAAACCCCAGCAGCGGATCCGGCGATAATGAGTCTAGGTCTGCCTGAGGAACGGTGTTTCCAAAAAGCTCACTCCGCAAGACCCGTGAGTACATTCTGTTTGCTTCTTCGGCTGAGTGATCATTAGCCAAAGGGATCAGCGCCACACTTGTGTGCAAACTCACTCTTTTGAAAATGAAGCTCCGAATGAGGAGCGCGTTTCTTAGATTTGGAGGGAGTCGAGGGACAGCCGTCTTCATGAAGGAGGCTGTAGGTTGCTTGCAGGTCTTGCCCCTCACGGTTGGGTATGAATCTATGAGGCGGCGTAGGCACGTTAGCAAGGAGCTCAAGGGATTGCTTCACAATATGACCGAGATGGCCGAGCTGATGTAGGAAGGTGCCAGAAGTGTGGTGCTACTGACCTGTCGCCGTATACTCGTTGCCTCTTCCGACTGGGGCTTGTGCCGGGTGTTCTCTCGCGAGGGTTTCCAGCGTCCTCGTAGTCCCTTAAAGCCTTCGCGAGCGCATCGGGATCGATCGCTTCTGAGGTGTTTCGGCTCTTTTGTTGTCTCCCTTGCGATTCGGGGTAGAAGAGGGTCTTCTTTGCTGGCATACTAGGGGGGGTTCTTGAGCCAGGAGGGGATGCGATAGACAATGCGTTGGCAGCACGTTCCGGCGACTTCCCACTTCTTGCTGCGCTGCGGGTAGCAGGAGGATCAAATTTCCGGGGGTCGCCCATGGTTTCGAGGGAGGGATGACCGATCCTCACGAGGTACAGTACAAATGGCGGTCGAAAGCGGGATCAAGTCAGGTAGGGTCAATGCGACAGATCCCCACGGTCGATGAGTCGCAAACGCAGCGAGATGCGAAGTCAAGTCAGAGGAACAGCGAATCTCGTAGGTCTATTATTTTATGGGTTGTTTATTTGGTCGATCAATCGGCGCTTCAAAGGTTCGTGGGGGGAGGAGTGTGAGGTGAGAGTTGGAAGTGTTGACGACAACAGGCGAGAGCCCTTATGCTCCGCTCCGGGTTCAATGAAACCAAATAAACTTGGGAAGTAGGCGGGCAGTGAGGATAACGGCGGCAAGGGAATGAAACAGACAGAGTCTCTCACCAGACCCAAGACTGAATTGATAGAATGGCACAAATTGTGGAGGTCATTTGAGATTGACCCGACCACTTTGGGTTGGTGAGAAAGAAAGAGGGAGAAGGGTTGAGACAAGATCAATCCAAGGAAGGGTTGGCTGGCTGGCTGGCTGGCTGGCTGGCTGGTTGGCAGCGGCGGCGGCGGCGATGGGCTTCCCTCCCTCTCTCTCTCTCCTCTCCCTCTCTCAGTCTCTGGGCTGTCTGTTGCTCGACCGTTCGAAGGGGATCTTTCCAGTGATCCACTGCACCCACCGCACTCAGTCACGCGTCGGGTGCGCTAAACCGGTTCTGGAACAACACAGGGAGGTTGGCCTGACGCTGCAGCTGTATTGACTTAGATGACGATGGCCCTTTCCTTGGAGAAAACAAAAGAAAAAAGAAGGTAAAAAAAAGTCACTAGAGAATTGAAATTCATGCAAATGACTACCCTGATGAAAATAATCACTTTGCAATGATCCTGTAGCGGTCATTCATATATACAATGTCCTTTTGAGTAGGAGTGAGAGGGAAAGATGGGGAAGCCCCGTCTCCGTCTCCGTCATGTGTTGTTGGTCGCGCGGCTGCAGATGATGATTTAATTATTATTGTTTATCGCCTGCAAGTTGGTTACCACCGACTACTATCGACTTCCGATATCCTTCCTTTCCCCCACCACAACAAGATTATCGTACAAGTTAAGTTGTAAGCATGGAGAGCAACATCCTAACTTCCAGTCAGTCAGTCAACGAGCCAACGAGTCAATGAGTCAAGGTCGATAGATTTATCGCTTCTTTGTTGGAAGAAAAGACGACCTGATTTCGAAGTCATCGTCTTTTGTTGTTCATTGACGCGAAGCGCCGACCTGGTGATTGGATCAGGGCGACTGTTATAGAGCGTGCCAGGGCCACGAGCACCAGCAGCGCGACCGCCTCTCATTCCACGCGCCCTGCGAAAGAACGCGCCATGGGGGAAGCTTGGGCCAGTCCCTTCCTCCAACAGGAGACTTTTCGACCACAGAATCCCGTTTATTTCATCCTGCAGTTAATCCCAGTCGCAGCATGAGTCTCTAACTGGACTTGCTCTTCCGTGTCACAACCGCCGCTTTAGTGGCGTTCAATTCCCCGTTTCGATGATGCAGTCGATCTAAGATAACTAGTACGGAGTAGATGGTCTACTACTACTAAGATAGTGCCTGGACCAAGAATCCGAGCCAACCCACTTGATCCGGTAGATCAGGGCAGATCCCAGTGAGTCAGCGAATGCTCAGGACTCCTTTGAGTCTAACGTCTTGCTTCTCGGACCATTCAATATCTCTGATCTTTGTCTCGAATGTTTCAGTGGCTTCTTATTCCTTGGCTTTTCTCGACGAGACACTAGAATCGACCTGATGCGATTAGCCAAATAAATCGAATCACATTGATTCGACATGCTGCCATGGCTGTCCATGATAATTCTTCGCTGGTCTACTCATCGCATACTATCGAGATTACAGTTTAAAACTGCAATGGAACGGTTATTTAACTTGTCCCAATATGGAGATTTTCATTTGAGGCTCTCATGAGCCTTGCGTCTGCCAATTCTGATCGGTCACAGAGCTGCTTCGCGGGTAATTCATGTACGCTAGATTAGCATTCAAGCTTTGCGCATGCAATTGATGCGATGCTCAACGAGGACCGACCAGCTGCTTCCACAGTTGCATTCTGCCGCCAGCCTGTTCCTTCCCTTCCCGAACTAAAGTGCACCTCCGTAGATATTTCTCTTCAGCATACGGGCGCATTCAGACCATGCCTCAACATCACCTTGTTGAAGCCATGATCCAACAGCGATGAGTGCCAACGAGGCATTGATCAAAGTAGCGATAATATCAGGGGCACTAGTGACCATCACCGCGTTAGGCATAGGCCTCTATTTTGTTGCTGCGGCTTTCAAGACAACTGAGTATGTGCTGTGCAGTCCTGCAAAGCTACGGAGTACCGTGCCCCAAACTAAGAGAGCTTCATCATAGTCCCCAAGTTGGTCTGCTCCCCATCCGCCGGTAACAACTGGAAATGATAAAGTGGGCGGGCGGTCAGCGCGTATCACGTGGAGACGCGTTCCGACACGCTTTCAGGGCTCTCGCCGCCGTGCTCCCCGGGCATCCCAGAGTAGCGTCGGCACCCACCAGTCGAGTAGTATTCGCCTCAACCTTCACCAATTGGAGATGGCTGCCAATTTCTTCAGCAACAAAGCCCGGGCTGCAGCTGCAGCTTCGGGTACCTCCAAGCCAAAGCCAACGGATGGGAAGGATGAACAAGGTCGACAACAACCATGGGTTGAGAAATAGTAGGCGCTCTCCACCCAATGTGTCCTTAAATGCCTGTCACATTGACCACGAAATAGTCGCCCCAAGACTCTTGATGATGTCGCCGCACAAGATCACACCACCAAGGTTCTCCGACGCACATTGCAAGCTTCTAATGTACGACGACTTCCGAAATCGTATCGTCGCCTAAGAGCCAGGAATACTGACGGGCAATCTCTAGCTCCCCCATATGCTTTTCTACGGCCCCCCCGGTACCGGAAAGACTTCCACGATTCTTGCTCTCGCAAAGTCGCTCTTTGGTCCTACTCTCTACCGCTCCCGCATCCTCGAATTGAATGCTTCCGATGAACGTGGTATTGGTATAGTGCGCGACAAAATCAAGAACTTTGCTCGTGCCCAACTCAGTCACTCAACAGGCATGGGCGCGGAATACCTTGCCAAATACCCGTGTCCTCCATTCAAGATCATCATTCTTGATGAGGCAGACAGTATGACCCAGGACGCGCAGTCCGCTCTTCGTCGCACCATGGAGCAGTACAGTCGGATCACCCGTTTCTGCCTAGTCTGTAACTATGTGACTCGTATCATCGAGCCGCTGGCGAGTCGATGCAGCAAGTTCAGATTCAAGGCTTTGGACAATACGGCGGCGGGAGATCGGCTGGTCCAGATCGCCAAGCTGGAAAACTTGAGATTAGAAGAGGGTGTGGTTGACAAGCTGATCAGCTGTAGTGAAGGTGATTTGCGACGTGCGATCACCTATTTGCAAAGTGCGGCCAAGCTGGTCGGGGCCGGTAGGGTCGAGAAGAAGGACGACGATGAAGATACTGAGATGGCAGATGGAAACTCGGAACTGATCACTGTCAGGACCATCGAGGAGATCGCTGGTGTCGTCCCTGAAAGTGTTTTGGATGATCTGACCCGGGCTCTGCAGCCGATGAAGGTCGGGTCATCTTATGATGCTGTTTCCAAGGTGGTTACGGATATCATTGCAGATGGATGGAGTGCCAGTCAGCTCCTTCTACAGGTAATTCTATATTCTATTTTTGAACGTCGCTTGTGGAGTCTCAATACTAATCTGGTGCAGCTGTATCGGCGCATGATCTACAACGATGCTATTCCCGATATTCAGAAGAATAAGATTGTGACGGTCTTCTCGGAAATGGACCGTCGTCTGGTTGACGGGGCTGACGAGCACCTGACTATCCTTGACGTCGCACTCAAAATTTCTGGCATCTTAGGCGGCGCGTAGTCGTCGAAGACGGCTATACCACTACCTATTATTTTTCTATAAGCTCTGAGCGACGTCATTCGATTGGCAGGCCTCGCCGATAGGAGTGTCAGGAGGCTAATTGACGCGACTCATCATCATCCGAAGGATACAGAAGTTTACAGAATGGTTCCTCACCAAAGCCACCAGACTCTGTCATCTTCTTTCATGCATCGCTCCCTGTAGCACGGAAATATACAGTGGAGCCGGTGGTCATGGGAAACAATCGGGCGCGCGCGCAAAATCCAAATCTGCAACTCGGAGTGAAGCCAAGACTTACGACTGTATGAAATATAACGAACAAGTCAAAACATGCTTTCTCTCTAACTCAATCTCAATGGGGACCCATGTAGGTGTAGGAACGTCATACACGGAGGGCATGCATGCAACCTTCCTTCATCGCCCGGTTCCTCACGTGCGGCCCGCTTCGTGGCTCACCGACGAGCCGGACGAGAGCCGGACGAGAGCCGGACGAGAGCCGGAAAGAATAGAGTGTGCCGCATCAAGACTTCTTATGACTCAAATAATTTTTAGATTTCGTTTTCTCCTGGCTCCGGTACATACATTTGAGGCAGCAGCATATCGCGATATTAAAATAGACCCTTAGAGCACTGCATATAGACCGCCGTCCACCCTCATGGCTTCCTCCGAGTACCCCGCATCCACCCACACTCCCCGCTATTTGACTGGCGACGCGGCTGGCATCCGTGAGTTCATAGACAAGTTTGATGTGAGTGTCTTCAGTGAGACAGGTTGTGTTGGACTTGACAGAGGCTAATTTATCATCCAGGTGTTTTTGTTTGACTGCGATGGTACGTCCTCGCCACGAGTCCGATAGAACATCAGAGCTTCCGCGGTTCTGCACCAACAGCACCTACAGCAAAGGCCCGACTGACCCTCGATCTACAACTTAGGGGTTCTCTGGTCCGGGGACCACCTTTTCCCCGGCACAAACGAGACATTGGAACTGTTGAGAAGCAAAGGTATGATATTTTCAGGGGGCATGCGCTGCTCGCAGACAAGCTAATCCCCCATTTCGTGTGCCAGGCAAACAAGTGGTCTTCGTGACGAACAACAGCACCAAGTCGCGCGCTGACTACGTGAAGAAGCTCGAGGGGCTGGGCATTCCCAGCACAACGGTACGTTTTCCAACCCCATCCCCAGCCAGCCAGCCAGCCAGCCATATTCCCTCAACCCCCAAACCCTCTACATCCCACACCCCACCACTAACCCGTCCCCCCTTCACGACACAGGAAGAAATCTTCTCCTCCTCCTACAGCGCCTCAATCTACATCTCACGCATCCTCTCCCTCCCGCCCAACAAACGCAAAGTCTTCGTCATCGGCGAAACCGGCATCGAGCAAGAACTCCGCGCCGAGAACGTCCCCTTCCTCGGCGGCACCGACCCGACCTACCGCCGCGAGATCACGCCGGAGGATTACAAGAAAATCGCCGCCGGCGACCCCAGCCTCCTCGACCCGGAGGTTGGGGTGGTGCTGGTCGGCCTCGACTTCCATGTGAACTACCTCAAGCTGGCGCTGGCGTTCCACTACATCCGTCGGGGCGCGGTGTTCCTGGCTACGAATATCGATTCGACGCTGCCGAATGCGGGGACGTTGTTCCCCGGCGCGGGGTCGATGAGCGCGCCGTTGATCATGATGTTGGGGGGCCAGGAGCCCGTGTCGTTGGGGAAGCCGAACCAGGCGATGATGGATGCGATCGAGGGGAAGTTTCGGTTTGACCGGGAGAGGGCGTGTATGGTGGGGGATCGCGCGAATACGGATATCCGGTTTGGGGTTGAGGGGAAGCTGGGGGGCACGCTGGCGGTTTTGACGGGGGTGAGTAGTGAGGAGGACTTTTTGCGGGGGGAGGTCAGGCCGGCGGCTTATTTGGATCGGTTGGCGGATTTGCTGGGGTGTGAGTGATTCAATTCAAGGTTTTTTCTTGGGTGGGATGGGAATGGGGGGAATACTTTGAATTGAGAGAGTCTAAGGCTTGGAGAGATAGAACCTATTGACGGAACCTGGTGTAGTTACTATTTGGACAACCGGGAGGGGGGTGGGTTGTGATAGGTTTTGGCTCCTCTCTTCCCGTCTTGTGTACGGGTTTAGGTTGCATAGATTATAGAATACAGGAGATATTCCCCCACCAGCCTTCGTGAATCTCCGCTATATACATATGGTGTGGCAGGGTGCGTAGGGTTGCGGCGGATGTAAAGCATGATTTATCAGGATTCAGGCTCAAGGTCCTGGTGCGGATCAAGATGCGGATCAAGATGCGGATCATCTCTCAACAGCCCCGCCAGCTTCCACAAGCCCAGCATCGCATTGACCGTGGGCTTGTCGTCCGGTCGAAAGAACACCGCCGCCTGGCCCTGGAATTTGCCACACACGAGAAGATCCTCCTCGGACAGTAACCGCGTCATATCGAACACGGGCACCTTGGAATCCATCTGCGGCAGACGGAAGAAGCCCGACAGGGGCAGCTGAGGCGAGTCGGTGCGCCGCAGCACCAGCACCGCACCCGTCTCCATGCGCGCGACGGGCTCCATCTTCGCCAGCGCATCGACCAGCGCCTCCTCGGCGATGAGCGCGGCCCCATCCTCTTCCTGGTCCTCCTCCAGCGGCAGCACCGAGGTCCAGACCTGCCGCTTGGGCGAGTCGTTCGACTGCGTCGCGGCCCTCCGCAGCCGCTGGCCCACCTCACGCCGCATCATCCGCGTCACGAACTGCGGCATGTCCTGGCGCCAGACGCACGACGCCATCATCGAGTCCGTCATCGGCCCCAGCGGCGGCCGCCAGCGAATCGGGAACGCGAGCGCGATGGCCGGGATCCTCCTGTTGGACCTTCGCGAAGTCTCCGTCACCGTGTTCAGGAGCGTGAGTCGGTTGACCATCCGGAACCGCAGGTGACGGATCGCTTGGGAGGTCTGCTGCGTCTTCTTCGGTTGATCTGTCGAAGAAGAAGATGACGATGATGATGATGATGACGACGACGACGGCGATGGAGCGGGTTCGGGCACGGTCACCGGTGGTAGGATCTCGGATGGATGGATGAAGAGACTCTTGCCCTCGGGGTGTTCCTCGAGACCCCAGCCGGTCATGAACTCCGTCGGCATGCGGAGCCCCGTCAGCGAGCATTGGCGGATCGGCGTGGCCAGCGCCACGGCCCAGGGGTTCGTGGAGAGATCATCTTTGAGGTGCGATGGTTTGCCGCGGGCTTTCTTCTTGTGCAGGCGCTCGTAGCCGGATTTCGGGTCGGTGAGTAACGGGGATTTGGGGAGGAGGGAGGACGGCCGGGGGGACTTTTGGGCTCGAGGTTCTCGGGGCGGTTTGGCAGGTGTTTCTTTAGTAGCGGTATCTGCTGAGTGCGGAGGTGGGGGTTCAAGCTCGTCGGTCGAGGTGGATAAAGTGCGTATGCGGTGGTTGTGGTGCTGAGACGGAATTGGGCCATGAATGGTGGCGGTGGTGGTACTATTGTTGACTAGTTGACGAAATTGCCTCAAGCGCCATGACGCATAGGATATTCGACCGTAGAGACACTCCATTGTCTCCTTTGGTGGAGGTGGTGGATGGCGCGGCGAGCAGCTGGAACGGGAGCGGTTGTCGGTGGAGAAAGAAAGACGAGTAGAAAAACCCGCGGAGGTTTGGACGTTGACCGACGCCCGGCGCGCAAAGGCGGAGTTCTGCTGCTGCTGCTGCTGCTGCTGCTGCGACAGTCTTACACCACTCGTCCGACCATCACCCCTCCGACCATTGCCTCCATCTTGCCATTACCTGCCTACCCGCTTTGAATTTGCAAGCAACACCTTCACAATGAATCCAGCTCGTCCCCTGCAGCGAGCGAGTCGTATATTGAGCCGCCCGTCGGCCATCCCGGCCCTGTCGCGGAGCTTCACCAGCCCCATCCCGTCGCGATCACCACTACCAGCTTCATCGACGGCCCAACCTGCGCGAGGATGGACGCCCACGCCGTTCGTCACAGAGACGGTGGTAAGTTTGAGTTTCCCATCAATCTGTCAACCACCCCCCCCCCCCAAAAAAAAGCTCACTAACAAACCATCAGGGCGGAGGCTGGCACACATGTACGTTATACTCAATCCATGCATCAGCTCACTCAAATCAAGCCCACACCACCACCACCACTACCACCACAAACCAACCCAACTAATTCCCGCCCAACGCAGACGACATCTTCTCGCGCCTCCTCAAAGAGCGCATCATCTGCCTGAACGGCGAAGTCGACGAAACCATGTCCGCCTCCATCGTCGCCCAACTTCTGTTTCTGGAAGCCGATAACCCCCAAAAGCCCATCCACCTGTACATCAACTCCCCCGGGGGGTCGGTCACGGCCGGTATGTGTCTACGTACCCCCAATGACAATGCCTACCAAACCCCCACACTAATCATCCGAGACAAAAGGCCTAGCGATCTACGACACAATGACCTACATCGCCAGCCCCGTCTCCACGATCTGCGTGGGCCAAGCGGCGTCCATGGGCTCGCTGCTCCTGTGCGGCGGCCACCCGGGCAAACGATACTGCCTGCCGCACTCGTCGATCATGATCCACCAACCGTCCGGCGGGTACTTCGGACAGGCCAGCGACATCGCGATCCACGCCAAGGAGATCCTGCGCGTGCGCAGCCAGCTCAACAAGATCTACCAGCGGCATCTGACGGGCAAGAAGGTGCTGTCGCTGGATGAGATTGAGAAGCTGATGGAGCGGGATTACTTCATGGGGGCGAAGGAGGCGTTGGAGATGGGGATTGTGGATGAGATTTTGGATCGGAGGCCTGGTGGTGGGCCCAAGGAAAGTGGTGGTGGTGGAGGAGAGGCGAAGGGGGATGGGGATGGGAATGGGAATGGGAATGGTGGGGAGGAGTAGGTACTAGGTGATTAGGCCGGGTTAGGGTTTGGGTTGGTTATAGCTGGTTTTCTTCCTTCTGAGTGGAAGGGGAAGAGGGAGGGGGGTTGAGGTTGATGTTTATACATACCCTGGGTTGATTGTCTTTTTCTGCTTTGTATTTTTGTGGTTGTGCCTTCTATGTGATGCTGACGATCATATACTGATGACGAAGAGCTTGGAGATAGAAACTCCACTCCATTCCACTCCATTCCACTCCACTCCGCCCAGCCTTTCCTGCTTGACTGCCATGTCAGATATTAGACAATAACTTACTCATAATGCACTACCCCTGACACTTCATCCACGTTCTCACATGGTTAACAAATAGAGTTAGTATATTATGACCTATTCTATGCCTATACAGTACAGCAGAACCCCCGCATCTACACCAGCCAAAGCAACCCTCTCTTCTAAGCACTGACAATGCCATTGGCATCGGGAGCGGGATTGGGGTTATTGGCAGTAGCCGTGGCAGTGGCAGGAGTCTGCGCATTCCGCTCCGTCGACCGCCCATTCATTGCATCCCGGAACCCAGCCATGAACGCCGCCGCCTGCTGCGGATTCGCGAACCGCAACGAACTCCGCCCCGTCGTCGCCGGAGTGTACCGCCACTGCTCGCGGACCACATCCACCAGCCCCACGTCCATGATCACCGCCTGGCCCGAGGCGAACCGATCCAAGGGGTGACCATCCTTCGCCGCGGCCGTGCTGCGTCCCAGGTCCAGGCCCGTCTCGGTCGGGTCGGCCAGCAACTCGGTCCGTTCGTCGATCATAGTGTTATGGTCATGGTCATGATCCTCAGCTCGTTCCTGCCTCGAAGGCTGTCCACTGACCGGGACCTGAGTCGTCTGGTCATCTGGAGAAGTAGTACCTGTGGCCGCACCCCGAAGAACACCCCGCTCTTCGGAATCGTGGTCCTGGCCCATCCCATTGATGATAGCACTCAGGATATTACTTCTTGAGCCTTGCCCGGTCGCCGTACCGATCAATCCCTGCTGCTGCTGCTGCTGCTGCTGCTGCTGCTGCTGCTGCGCCTCCACAGACTTGACTCTCTCCACCACCAGCCCCAACATCACCAAATCCAGGAGTAGAACCAACACATCCATCGACAGCAGCCGGGCCAGCGGGACGGGCGCCTTCTGGCCGATGAAGTCGATGAACAAGCCCCCGTGGATATACCCGCGGGTTTCCTCGCCGGCTTCCGGCGCGGCGAAGAGCGTATGGTAGAGCATGCAGAACAGATTACTCAGGAAGATGGCGCCGACGAAGGGTTGGTTCCGAGTCGGGTCGAAGGGCGGGGCTTTCGGGGTGAAGAAGATGAGCTGCACGATGGCGCGGAGGGCGAAGAGGATGATGGAGCAACTGCCAACCCACAAAATTATAGTCTGTTAATAAATGAATACTGGGGCGGGGTGTTTGTTGGGTTGGGGTCGGATGTAATAATATGTTGGATCTACAAAATGACGACGGCAAAAAGAGATATGGGGCCAAATTGCTCACTCCATATAATACAGCGCTGACAGCTCGCAGTAGATGAGGATATCGAGATCGCGGAGCAGCCGATCGATGAAGGCTACCTTGGCGGTGGATTGGATCTTTTTAATGCGCTCATCGTAACTGCCGTTGCTGCCGGTGGTGCTGCCGCTGCTGGACGGAGGTCCGGCGACGAGGCCGGGCGATAAGCCGGACACGTCAGCGAGGTATTCCGCATCTCGATACACATCTGGAGTGGTCATAGAGGGTCATGAGGACATGGATGATGAATGAGATCGGAGAGTTAAGAAGGTGGGAGGGTGTTTAAGGAGGGAAGGATGAAGGTAAGGGAAGTGAGGTTCACGCTGACGGTTTAATCAGTTAGTTAATCAGTTAGTTAATCAGGAGAAGTGGAGTGGAGGAGGGACGGATGGAATGGAGGGCGGAAAGCGGAGGCGGAGAAGGACCAGGCAGCTGCGTCAGGCGATGGCGGGTTTTCCTCGGTCCGACGGAGCTGAGGCTACTAACTACAGTAAGTCACTCAAAATACAACAACATTTAGCGCTGAGCCGCACTTCAACACTAGCTGACTCGGGAATGACAATGAGGTATCTCTTATAAAAAGGCTATACTATCGAATGTTATCTACTTACTCTAATCCACGAAAATCGTCTTGGAGAGGTCGGCGTAGTGCTTGAAGAAGCTCGTGAACAGCCGGATGGAATGGCCGACATCATATGTACCTCCAGTCTCGCGGATACTGTGCATGCTGAGCTGAGGGTTGCCCAGATCCAGAGTACGGGCTCCCAGCTTGGCTGACATCATGGGACCAATGGTACTGCCGCAGCTGGAGTCGTTGCGAACAACGAACAGCTGGAGAGGCACGCCCTCACCACCGTCCTCGGCGGCCTTGCGGGCAACCTCCTGCAGAAGAACAATTCCAGGAGAGTTGGTCGCGTAGCGAGCATTGGCGTTGATCTTGATCACAGGTCCCTTGTTGATCTGCGGCCGGTGGTCGTTCTCGTACTTGGGGGAGTAGTTCGGGTGAACACCGTGCGCCATGTCGGCAGAAAGAAGGAATGAGGTGGACAGAGTCTGCTCATAGGCAGTGGAAACCTCAGCATCACCGCCGGCCGTCGACGGCAGCACCGAGAGACGACGGATCACGGCAGGAAGCATATTGGAGTCGGCGCCCTGAGCGGTACGGCTGCCAATCTCTTCGTGATCGAACAGCGCAATGAGACGGATGGACGACTCATTGTCCAAGGCCGAAGCATCGGCAACCGAGTCAATCAGGCCGACGGTGGCACAGAAAGAGCTGTTCAGGTTGTCCAAACGGGGAGAAAAGATGAACTCATCCAATAAACCACCCAGGTTGGACTTTTGCGTATCGAACAGAATCATCTCGAAGTCGAGGATATCGGCAGGCTTGGCACCGGCCTCGGCAGCGATGAGCTCGACCAGGTAAGGGTGGTGGCGCTCAGTGATCGCCTTTAGAGGGGAGAACTCTCCGTCATCCTCTGCAGCGTTGTTCTCAGCCTTGGTGGTCTCACCGGCACCGGTGCGGTTGAGCTCGGCCTCCACGAGGCCGGCGATGGGGAAGAGCTGGGTCTCCTTGTTGAAGGAGAAAGTTTCCTGGCGGTCAAGGTGGATAGCCAGGGTAGGGATACGCAGAACTATAAAGCTCGTTAGTCATACACCCTGAAAATCTCAGACACAGTTCATACTAGGCCGGTCAATCTTGATCAGCTTCTGCACAATAGAGCCGTCGCCGTTGCGCACCATAGCCCGGCCTGCAACTCCCAGATCACGGTCGAACCCTGTGAGCAGTTAGCACCGAGTACATGGTAGGAACCGGGTAAGCGCACACGTATGCCAGATGCCTCCTCCGTAGGTCTCGACACCTACTTGGACATAGCCTTCCCCACGCTTGTTGCTGACAGGCTTGACCCGCAGCACGGGGGAGTCGGTGTGAGCCCCAATCATGGAAATGGGATTACCAGGCTGTTTAGGATCAGCGTCAATTGACCCAGTGAGGTAAGATCGTTGACTAGGCACATACCTGCCACTTCTTGCCGATAGCAAAGGCAACGATGGTGGATTGGTTGCGAGTGACATAGTATTTTCCGCCGGGACGGCAGGTGGATGCCCAAGGATCCTTCTCCTGCAGTGGTATTAGTAGCTCATCTCAAAATCTATGGAATAATCGTCTGTACCTTGATCTCTTGGAAGCCGGCCTTCGCGAGCAGGTCCTTCGCAGATTGGACTGCATGAAAGGCTATATGGAACGGTCAGGCACAGAGAAGGCAGTATGATTGGGGCGGAGTTTACGGGTGGGAGAGGCATTGACAAAGGACAAAAAGTCCAGAGCCGGCTGCTTCAGGTTCTGAGCGAGCTTAGAAGTCATATTTGGAGGACCTTGGGATCTGACCGAGAAACCGTGGGGTGGTGCGGAGGAGAAAAGAATGGGCCAAAGTACGGATAAGTTCATAGTGGCCATGACGGAGATCATGCCAAGGCGGTCAGTTCATTTGACAGCTCTTGAAGCGGGGAAAGGCCCATCCATCGTCCATACACAATCGCCGTGCTTCTAGGGCTGCCGAAGGGCCTACTTAATCGGCCATACGTTTATTTAAAAATACAATTAAGAGACAGGCACCTCATGAAGACATTGAATCCGCTATAGATATATGCTTCTATAGTTCATCCCTATGGTGGGGAACCTCGGTAGCTTCAAACATCCTCTTCTTAGGATTCCTTGGCAGCTCCGCTTGCCTCTGCCTTTCCTCCGGCGAGATGTCGTCTATGTTGGTCTCCTCCTGTTTTTCAGTCTCCTCTACCAATTCGCCGATTTGGTCAATCAAGCGGTCCTCCTCCGCTTCGTCCGTAACAGGGACCTGGTCCCATACTGCCTCTTGCTCTGCAGTCTGGACTGTCGGTTCCACCTTCGGAGCCACGACTGGGGTCTCTTGCACCAACTGAGCGACAGGAGTAACAGAGTCAGAGGCCTGCACTGCCCGACTGGTGATGCCCACCACACCTAGAATCGCAAAAGTAGATCGTGCCAGTAGTCGCACCGGCAGCCACACAAGCCACCACAGAGGACCGTAAAGTATGCGCCGGAAGACAAGCCAAGCGATAGTTCCAAGAAGAATGTAAAACGCCGTCTCCAAATACCAAGTGTCGGATTTCTGCGACCGAAGAAGAGAACCGACGAGGTTGCGCGACGAGGTGAGGAGCGAGTCCAGGTCCGTGTAAGATTCCGACAGCGACGAGAGGGCAGCGGTGGATTGCTCTGAGAAGGATTGGCGACAAATGGTTAGCTCAGAGGCGTGCAGGACAGCAGCAACAGCAACAGCAACGAACCTAACGTCTCCTGCGCAAACTGGCTCCGCGACAACTCGGACTGCATCAACTGATGCGTACGCCGCAGCGCCGCCGTAACATCGTTCGAAGCGTTCTTCACGATCTCATCCTGCGTCAGCTTCTCGGCGGGCTGGTTCTTCCTCTCGGCGCTCTGGGACCGGGAGAACAACAACTCCCGCTCCTTGCGGCGTGCGGTCTCGGCATTGCGTTTCGCCTGTAGCTGTGCGTTCCGGAAGTCTCTTCTGGTCCTGCGTCCGGTGTAAACATACATCTGTATCCCGAGATCTGGCCAGACTCAATAGATCTAGACTCTTCCCATGAAGAAGCACACATACCTCTTCAGTTCCTCAGTTAAGCGCCCCGCCAGCGCGACCACGCGCTCCCTCTCCGATTCCTTCTCGTTATCCAACAGCGCTTTTCGTCGACTCTCGGGACCTGCCTCGAGACCCTCCACCTCCACCCGCAACAACTCCAATTGATCCTCCGCCCCTTTCAGAAGCGTATGGATCTCCGTCCCCAGCTCCAAGCGCGCCTCATCCCCCTGTCCAATAGCGGTGGTGAAGTTCTGCAGTCGAGAAACCAGCGGGTGGATATTGGCCAGAGCGGTCGAGAGCTCCTTCAGTCGGGACTGGAGTTCCGTCAACGATGACATTGTTATTTGTCGGTGATAAGAAGACAATCACACTCGAGTCGCATTAACACGATTTCGCAGATAGACTCTACGCCCAATAGAACAAAAACGCTGTGTATGTAACGAGAGAATGAAGAAAGTATGATGAGGGGGTAAAATTGTCGATGTGTCCGTTCCGCAACAGCAACAGCGTCATCATCGGCTGGCTTCCCGTATCTAAACCCCCCGTAACCGGTAGAATCCCATTTATTCCTGAGGCATCCAGACTGATCAGCTCACTGTTTGCATCCAAGACAAACACACACAGAGAGACAGCGACCCCCGATCCTCCGCCGGAATTATCCAGGCCCTGCCTGGCCTTGGTGTAGATACAGCAAAAAAACGGTTAACCAGAGCGTGTTGAATTCCTTCTTTGATAGCTGCTGTGCGCGCGCAACCTCCCCCGCTATCTCTCTCACCTGCTCAACCCATAATCCCTGTCATCAATCGCAAGCACACCCCCGAGAAAAAAAAAGTGAACCGTAAGTCCATCACGGTCCCCCCCTCCCCGAACTATCTAAACATCCTAAACTAATCCAGTACCCAAACGCAGCCCACCTCTAAGCAAAAATGTCCATCCCAATCGCCACCATATCTTCCTTCCGCACGACCTTCAACCCCTGGGCCCGCAGCGCCCGCCCCTGCCGCCTGCTGCTCTCGCTGCTCCGCAACCCCTCGACCGTCCCGGCCTCGAGCGGCACGCACATCGACATCAAGGTGACGCAGCTGCCGCGGCACTCGACCAAGCCGGCCGAGCTGGTGGTCGGGTTCAAGAACGGGAAGGAGGTGAACATCCCCATCGCGGAACGGGAGATGCGGATCGGGGATGTCATCGAGGAGATTGCCCGCGTCGGGCGGGTGATTGAGCGTGAGGAGACGTTGAAGGGTTGAGTTTATTTCTGGCTGTCTGGATTGGAGGGTTGGCTTGGCTGGAGGGGGATCGGTAGCGAAGAATTGAAGGAAGAGAGCAAGCAGGGAAGGTTATTGCGCCGGATATCTTGCGGCCCTGGAGGATGTCGGGCTCAATCTTGGTGGGCTTCTCTGCATCGTCTGTCCGTGACTCTTTGAGATTTATGGACGCGCGCAATGTTATCTGCGGCGTAGGTGGAAGTCATCGGGACTTGTTTTCGCGACCTGTATTATCTATCATGTTATTCACGGACATGTGTATATACCAGCTATTGATTATTATTGTTCTGTTTTTTTTATGCTTTTTATAGACCAACCATTTACAATGTCCCACTGATATCTTTAATGGCTGTTGCTACGATTAAGAACTTTTGTAAGAGAAGTTTGAAGTATGTAAATCACCCGTAGGTGGGGGAATAGGTTTCGATTTTAGGATTTGTACAGGTTTAAACAGCGGCACCGGAGATGAAGAACCACTTATCAACGCTGCCGTCAATGGGGGCAGGAGGAAGGTTCTCGCCCTTGGGGATGCTGGCGAGCTTGGAAGCGTCGGCGCGCTCAACACCCTCGTAGGTGCTGGTGGCACTGGAAGCGGGTCAGTCAGAACTTCTTTGTAGATGGGTTCAGGGATAACGTACATGCTGACATCACCCTTGGGGGCCTGGCCGGAGATCAGCTTCTCCCAAGCATCACGGCACTCGCGGATGACCTCCAGAGCGTACCTGCAAGAAATTAGTACAACAATTACATGCATCAACCATCGATCGGGTACGTACTTCTGGTTCTTGCACTCGCCGGAGAAAGCGAACTGGTTCTCGGGCTTTCCGTCGGGGATCTTGTAGATACGGAACCACTCGTTGGTGGCACGGAGAAGACCGGGGAGGTGACGCTCGACGTCCTCAACGTCGTTCAGCTTAGGAGCAAGGGGGTCGTTGATGTCGATGACGATGACCTTCCAGTCGGTCTCCTCCTCGTCGAGCAGGGCCATGACACCGAGGACCTTGACCTGCTTGACCTGGCCGGGGTAGCCGACAAGCTCACCGATCTCGCAAACGTCGAGCGGGTCGTTGTCACCCTTGGCCTTGGTCTCGGGGTGGACGTTGTTGGGGTCTTCCCAGGTCTACACCAGTTGTGAGATGATGGAGGGCCAGTGAGGGGCAACAGCGGGAAAATTACGTACCTGGGGAAAGGCACCGTAGTTCCAGAGGTAGCCCTTGTGGGGGAAGCAGTTACGGACGTAACGGAGCTTGCCCTTCTTCACATCCTGCTTGATGGGGTTGAGGAACTCCTCCTTGGAGATCTGGGATGGCAACAGGGGTCAGTTGGGATGGTCGAGGGTGGACGTGGCGGGCGGGGTATGTATTGGGCTTGGGTACCTCCTGCTTGGCGTTGGTCCAGCGGGGGATCTCAACAACCATGTTGAAGATGTTGTTGGCCTCATCGGCGTAAAGGGGGATGTCGTGGAAGGGAGAGACGGGCTTGCCATCCTTCTCGATGTAGACACGGTGCTCCAGGGTGTTGGCCTGGCCGATCTTACGGACGGTGTAAGACATGGTGGGCGATTGTGTAGTAGCGGAGACAGAAGAAAGGTGTCTAGCTAGAAGAGCAGTACGGTTTGAAGCGGACAAAACCGATGGACGAAGAGGGGAAGAAGAGGAGGAGAGAGAAGAAGAGGAGGAGGAGGAGGTAGCGGGAGGAGGAGGGGGGGGGGAGGGGGCTTGTTTGGTGGGGGGAGCCAGCGTTGCGGATGTGCGACAAACGGACGAACAGTAAGACTCAGAAACAGTGCGGCGGGCGACTATCGGACGAGTCCAGGCGGTGGGCAACCGGAGTGCTGACACTGGTCCACGACTAACCCCCAGGAACATTGATTGAAATACGACACGAGGTAGAGAGGACTAATTGATTGGGTCGATTTGTAAGGTATACAGTATTTGGTTTTAACCCAGGGAATGTCAATTGTTATAAGGTAACTAAAGGTAGGTTCAAGGAGGATGAAGGGATCGGGAAAGAAAATCGGACGGGAGCAGGAAAAAAAAAAGACGCCAACCAAAACAACCTCGGACACTTTCCTCCTTCTATCTCGGCAGCTGCTGCGGTCACGGCAGCTATGCTCTATGCACCTCGAGGTGTCCTGTCAGGCTGTCTCTCAGTACGTTATTCTGACCACCTGCATTTGAGGTTGGTATTACTGGTATGCATGAGTTTACCTAGGCTAGTGGCAACACCCTGCAGATGACACCATTTTCCTCAGCTTCTGCCTCTTGTTCCTCTTTTCGGTGAGGACGAATACCCTGGCTGGCCTTGGATTGCGCCCACTCCACCAGTACCGTTCCACTTATGGAGTCAATCCTATTGTCCTTGGGTGGCTTCCTCCTTATTTTCAGTCTATGAATATCCTTACACCTGTACTATTGAGACTTTTTGACCCATTTACATTAATTTAATTCCTTGTACGTTGTTCAATTGACATATTATCTTCCACATGTGCACCATTGCCTCTTCAATCGCTCAATTGCTCATCCCCTGCGATGTCAGCAGGTCTTGGCAGGTACTCCTCCGGGACGGACTAACCTGCAGTCCGAACTTGAAGTTGGTTGGATTCCCGCTGGATGAGTAAGCTGTAAGGCGAGAAAAACCTTATCGTGTATCACCACGTGATCTGGCACTTTTTCGTTCTCCGCCTCCATCTCGATCTAGAAACTCGAATAAACTTCAACTTCTTGACAATCCATAATCTGGTCTTGCTCGCGAATCAAAGCTGAACCCAGCTCTATTGCTTGTACCTACTCAACTAAGGCATAGAAAAGCTCTAACCCGCCAAGAAATGCTATGCTAAGCTTCCTACGACCCCTCCGCTCCGCAATGACCTCGATTCCTCGTGTCCCCATCCCCGCCAACGGGGTCGACTACCGCGGCAAAGTCGTCCTGGCTCCGATGGTGCGCTCCGGTGAACTTCCCTGCCGCCTTCTCGCCCTCAAGTATGGCGCCGACCTCGTCTGGGGCCCCGAGACCATCGATCGTGCCCTGGCAGGCGCCGTCCGCCGCGTGAATCCCCGCAACGGCACCATCGAATTCACTCGCACCCCCTCCAATGGCGGCCGCACCGAGAAGGCCACCCAGGAGTCCGTCATCTACCGCCTCGATCCCGTCCGCGAGAAAGGCAAACTCATCTTCCAGATCGGCACCGCCACGCCCGAGATCGCCGTTGCAGCCGCCAAGCTCGTGGCCGGCGACGTCGCGGGCATCGACGTGAACTCGGGATGCCCGAAGCCCTTCAGCACCAGCGGCGGGATGGGCGCCGCGCTGCTCAGAACCCCGGACAAACTCGTCGCGATTCTCGAGACGCTGGTGCGCGAGGTCGGCAACCCATATCAGATCGGCATCTCGGTCAAGATCCGGCTGCTGGACCGGGAGGACCCCGAGCCGACGCGCGCGCTGGTCTCGCGACTCGTCAAGACCGGCATCACGGGGCTGACCATCCACTGCCGCACGCCGCCCATGCGGCCCCGCGAGCGCGCCATCCGCGACCAGTTGTGCATGATCCGGGACATCTGCCACGAGGCCGGGGTGGCGTGCGTCGTCAACGGCGACGTCACCAACAAGGACGACGGCCTGGCCCTGATGCAGGAATACGGGGTCGACGGCGCGATGATCGCCACCGCCGCCGAGGCGAACATGTCCGCGTTCCGCACGGAGGCCGAGGGCGGCCTCCTGCCCTGGAAGGAGATGGTCCACGACTACATGCAGTTCTGCCTCGAGTCCGAGAACCGCTTTGGCAACACCAAGTACCTGCTGAACATCTTCGTGCCGGGCAAGTCCCCCGAAGCCCACCGCTTCAAATCCGCCCGCACCTACGTCGACACCTGCCATGCCTTGGGCTTCGAGGACCTGATCCCCGCGGCGACCCGCGTCGACGAGATCCTGGGACTTGCGGATAAGACCACGAACAAGAACAACGACACTAGCGACGCCGTCAGCAAAGCCGTGCAGAACGCTCTCAAGAAGAATGAAACCGTCCGCGCGGCCGGCAACGGCGGCGCCTCGCGCTCGAAACCCACTTCCCCCGTCCTCTCCCACTCCGGCGGCCCGATTCGCACCAACTCGATCCCTCCTCCTACCAAATCCGTCACCAACACGACGGACGTCGATCCTGCGGCTGCGGCTGCGGCTGCTGCTGAAGCCGTCACTGTTCCGAAACAGGAACTTGCCGCATAATTCCTGCCCGCACAGTGTTCGACAGCATGATTCACCCCTTCTCTGCCTATTATTACCTCATGTATTCACGCTTGTATTTTCCGTATGAACTCATCTCCTGCGATTGCATTACCCGGTGTTGAAGATTGCTCTCGGTTGGTTTTCATTCCTGTTGTTTTGTGCTTAGAAATTCTAGATTCCCACCTTCTTATGTTCTTTAATTCAAAAGGCAGATACCATCCATCTCCTATACTTCTTTCTCCCTTTATAAAAGAACCAGAACAACTCGATAGACCCTCGGCCACGAAGTAGCCCAATATCGACCACTCAAAGTCAGACGACTCTAGCCGGAGGCAATAGCCTTTCTAACCAAAAGAATACCCTAAATCCACGGGCGAGGCCTCGTTCAAAAAGAATAGTAGGGCGAGGCTACGACGAGAACGAGAATAAATCACGATCATACCGTTACCTCCCCCTCCCCCTCCACCTCGCTTCGCATCCCTGCTGACTCTATTAATGAATCCAGGCAATTGGAAGGGAAGAGAGACACAGCTTCAAGCAATTGCCATTGCCATCAGCCCTGAACATCTCTAGACAGAAAACAAAAAAGCTTTTCGGATCAGCATGCGTTCGTTAGAATCGCCCAGGCGGGTACCCATATACCAAGCGTCATTCATTTTCTGTCTAGTTCTATTTCGACTCGTTTGCTTCTTTGACATGATGTGTATTTGTATGTGTATGTTTCCTCTCAATCGTTGGAAGAGAGGGGGGGTGGGTTGAAGAAGAGAAGAGAGGAAAATGTGAAGGGGAAGCAGCAGCAGGGGTACCGCGATAGATAAAAGCTCAGATAACGAGGAAATGGAATGAGGCGAATTGGGGGTGTAATTGCGCCGATAGTGTATCCCTTGAGTTGAAAAGCATCTCCATATGATCAAAATGCACAAGACACCGGTCAAGTGGAAAGAACAATTATCGAAGTAGATAACCACAGATGGGTTTGAGGACGGCCAAAGCAGAAAGATTCGAGGTTCGCTGATTTAGATGTGTAAAGATTCCTTCTTTCATCTGCCATGCAGGGCCCCAGGAAAGGGTCCTTTCTTCTAAACAAGAACGTAACGTAGAAAAACAGAACTCGCCAAGCCGAGTCCTCCATATTGAACAAGCGTATCATCACAAAATGAAGGGGAAAATAAACAAAGTACAACCGGAAATGTCTATCATCAAAACCCAAGCTCACATATGCAACGCAACAAATCATGACTGGTGCTCCATATCCGCAAGAACCATATTCTCGACCGCCTTCATGCCCGCATCCTCCGCTTTCTTGGATTCGGCGGCGTCCTCCCCGGCCACCGCCTGGTCGAGGGCCAGCTTCGTCTGGCCGAGCGCGTAGATCTGCTCCTCGATGGTGTCCTTGGTGACAAGCCGGATGACCTCCACCTCGCGGGTCTGGCCGACCCGGTGGGCGCGGTTCTCGGCCTGTACGTCTTCCTGCGGGTTGAAGCTGGAGTCGAAGATGATGACCTTGTTGGCACACGCCAAGTTGATGCCCGCGCCGCCGGCCTTGGTCGACAGGAGGAAGACGGGGATGTCGGTGCGCTCGTGGAATGCATCAAGGATCGACTGCCGGTCTTCGACGTTGGTGCGGCCATCCAGGCGCACGAAGCCGAGCTGTTCATGCTCCAGCACATCCTCCAGGATGTCCATCACCATGGTGAACTGCGAGAAGACGAGGGTCCGGTCGCCCTTCTCCTGGAAGCGCCGGAGGAGCTCGCAGAGCTTGGCCACCTTGCCCGAGTCCATCCACTCATTGTTCTTGAGGGCGAACCGGCTTAGTGCCGGGTATTTCACGCACATTGAGTGGCATTCGTAGTCGTTGTAGGGTTGAAGTTCCTCGAAGATGATGTCCGGGTTGGATTGGGAAAACTGTTCCTCTCTGAGGCAGGCCTTGGCCATGCGGCTGAGAATGGAATCGGTGTAGTGGCGTCTGTACAGCAATGGGTGAATGGCTGCTTGGCGGAGTTTCATGAGGATATTAGCGGATTTGTTGCCAGTTTTCTTGCCCGCGGCGCGATCCGCCAGCAGCTTCCGAACTTCCTCCTGTTCATGCTCGTAGATTTGTCGTTGCGCGTCGTTGAGTTCGCAGTACTCAACATGGGAGATCTTTGCAGGCAGATCGATGACCTGATGCTTCTTGCGTCGTAGCACAAAGGGCTTCAGCATCGATTTCGCGCGTTCAATACGCTGCGCGGAAAGCAATGCGGAGTGTGACTCGTCGACGGTCTTCGCTTTGTTCGCGAAGATGTGATGGAGCTCATCCTTGCGCTCTCGGAACACTTTGGGAAGAATAAATCCCAGTAAGGAAGCCAGCTCTTGTAGGTTGTTTTGTAACGGTGTACCCGTCAATAGAAGTCTGAAACGTGCCGGGATGCGGATCAGCTTCTCGTATAGCACCGAGGTACTGCTCTTCAACATGTGTCCCTCGTCATAGACACAAACGCAGAAGTCCATATTGCGTAGGAAGTGCGCATCAACCTTGCCCTTCGCGATAGTATAAGTGGTGATGACAACGTTGATGCTGTCTCTATTATCCTCAATCGTCTCCCGGATCTCCGCACGCTCAGCCTGGCCGGCATAATAAGGCATGACAGAGAGGGTAGGGCAAAACTTCTGAAATTCACGCAGCCAATTCTCAATGGTAGATGCAGGTACGACAATGAGATGTGGCCCCTTGAATCCCTTCTCATAAAGATGAGCCAAGAAGGCAATGACTTGGCAGGTCTTTCCCAGACCCATATCATCGGCCAAGATGCAACTCAACTCGTGTTCGAACAGTAATGAGAGCCAGTTGATACCCACAATTTGATAGTTCTTCATCTTCAAGTCATCTCGCATGATTGAAGGCTGGGAGATGAATCGTCCTTTGCGTGCGGGCACCACCCCACCGGGCGCGGGCCCGTCACTATCCTCATCTGAGGGTTGGCTTGCTGGGGTTCCTATGCCGGAGTCATGCGACTGAGAATCCCTAGGATCGATGGATACCAGCTCCAACTCTCCGTCTTTCTTCCCGAAGATATCCACTCCCCATTTTTTCATTTCTGCTGCAATCGGTTTGCCTAGCGCTTCGCAGCGCGCGACGAGAGAATCGACGGCATCGTAGCCCACCCACATATCAACACACTTATCCACGATCTTGTCGCCAATTGGCTTGGGCGTTTTGCGACCGCGGGCCCCCTTCGGCTTCGCGTCTTCCTTCACGGGGGCAGGCACAGCGCGGACCTCGTCCAGGGACCTAAATGGCCGGTGCGAGATTACATGCTGTGCCACTTCCTCGGTGATAGCAGCAATATCCGCCAGGTCCAAGACGCTGCATGTGTTGAAAAACTTCAGTAATTTGAGATCGAACTGCACATCGCCAACCGCTTCCTCGACGTCCGAGTCGGAGTCGTCGTCAATGATTATGGCTTCTGGAGACTCCGAGCGCCGGGGAGTTTCCGGTCTGCGACCCTGCACCAGACGACCCGATTTCTTCGGAGGGGTTTCCGCATCAGGTTCCGGGCGAGACTGGAGACGAGACTCCGAGCGCACGGGGCTCGGGGATGAAACCCGAGTTTTGGGCCCTCTCATTAGCCGTCTGCGCGGTTTTGCCTCATCGTCCTCCGCCTGCGCCGCCGCCGGCTTCTGCGCGGCGAGCGTTCTCTGCAAGTTCGCCGCGGACCATTTGTCCTGGATAGTCCCTCTCGCCTTGATTTGCTGCTTCGCCGCCGGGGCCGCATTCGACTGGCGCGACATGGACAGTTCGTCCTCGGAAGAGCCATCCTTCCCTTGCGCACTGGCCAGGAGATCCAGCGCATCCTCGTAGTTTCCGCGCTTCGCTACGAGCGCTTGCACGCAGGACTGCACGGACTTCTGCGGCATGACCTTGAGCATTCTTTGCACCTTGATCTTGATATTATAGTCCTCGATACTGTCGAGCGAGTACTGCCCGTCGACGGGCTGGGCGCGCGAAGGGCCATCCTGTCGAACTTTCTTGACGGCCATCCCTTTCGGCGTGAGGTCCATCTGCGCGGCGGGACGTTTCGCAGGGTTGTAGATAGCGCTGGTGGTGATCTCCTTGAACCGGTCGATCGGCGAGTCCGCGACCTTATCCGGACTGCGCGAGGATTTGGTGAACATGGCTGGTTTGATGTCGGGATTTTGTCGGTTCTGGACATCCTCGTCGGAGGACCCGCCTCGATACGTGGGGCCGTCATCTTCGAGATCGATGACCGGGGCACGCTTCGCCGGGCCTGCAGAAACCGGTGGCCGGAACATGGTGCCGCTGGGGGCCATCAGGTTGGAGAGACGGCCAGCGTTCGGGGTCGGACGGGAGGGGGAAGAGGTAGGACCTAGCGGGGAAGAGGCGGCAACTTGTACCACGGAGGTGCCCTTCGCAGTGTACGGATTGTCAATCAGCTGGGTCGGTTGCGTAAAGCGCTGAGAGGCCGGGGTCAGCGATTGAGTGGCCGCCGGTTGGTGGTGAGTAACAGGAACGGTGGCGACCGTCTCATATTGGGTATCCTCTTTGGTTGGAGTACCGGGAACGACTTTTTTGTCGTTCACAGGGGAGTCAGGCACAGAGTCTTCCATGACGGAATGACTCTTCAAAGAGAGAATTGGGAGTTTAAGAGAGTGAAAACAGAAATGTCGTCATGCGCCAGGGGATATTGGGGAAATGGTGAAGTAAAGAAAGGGGGGAGAGAGTCTCTGGTAGAGTGTGTGTGTGAGAGAGAGAGAGAGAGGGAGAGCGGAACAGACGAATTGATTGCCTCCTCCAACACGGTAAGCACCGTAAGTAAAGTTAAGTTTCTCTGGGTTTTTCTCCGCAAAACGCGCCCAGACGCGATCGATCACGTGAAGTGGCGCTTCAATTAAGCCCAGGAAAGGCAGTTGGATGTCGCTTCCAAGTTGTGGAGGGGGAGTGCGGCCAGTGAGGCAGCCACTGATCGTCTACATATATACTTACTAGGAGCTTGATTTAGGTACAACACCTAGTTATTAGATTCTCCTTCATGTTTGTTGCCTGGAATTGTCTATCAAAGTGTTCTCCAAGATCTATCCGATCGGGGACCAATCAGCAGCCCGAATTTACTGGATTCCGGGATGAGTTCACCCGCAATTATCATCACTGCAATATTCAAGTGTTGTTAAGCTGGAGTGTTTATTGTTCCTTCTCCTCTTTTGAATCGGCAAGAAAGGTGTCTTATCGAGAAGATCAATAATTCCCATCTGTAACAGTGTTACACTCTAAGCCTTATTCCTGAGCAATCTATTCACACCTTCTCAGACCTACGCTGACACGTGGACCGCCAATCATCAAACATCACCACCATCGCCATCACAATCACTACCACCACCTCCACAAACCAGTCCACAATGTCCGCTCGTCGCGCAGTCGATAAATCCTCTGCTAGGGATGTTGTTACTCCGTCGAAATCCGAGAAGTCCTCTGACTCGGATGTGACCCCTGCAGTTCCCACGTAAGTGCATCCAATTCGTCCCTAGGTTGGGGGGCTACTCTACGCCACATGGCCCACTGGTCGCGGTTGGCCCCAAGCCCGATATATTGGGAATGGTTGGCTCGGCTACCTGGAATACATCAAGTCAAAGCAGAGCAGCTCGTGCTGTCCGGAGTAATATTCAGACATAGCCGTCACTGACAGTTGAACCCCAGAAATGTGATCATGAAATTGCTGGGCTTCTCCGCCGCCATGGTCATTGCACCTATTGGCATCTTCTTTGTCACGGTTAATTTTGTCGGTGGTACGTTGCCCTGGGTGTAATCCTTCTGGAAGAGCAAAAGAAAGGCATGGTATTGACCCAGAAATTAGGAAGTGCCACTGTCGGCGGCATCGTTGCAGCCATCATGGCCAACATCGTCCTCTTCTCCTACGTCTACGTCGCGTGGAAAGACGACCAGGCGGAGAGAGAGGCCGACGCCAAGCAGAAGGAGAAGAAGGCGCAGTGATTGCGGGTTCCGAGTATGATTTGGTCTTTGTTTTTAAATATCATCCAATACCAGGTGTTTGATCTATGGGCGTTCAAGGGCAGTTGCGTGTATGCTATGTACCTATCATGTGTCTATGGGTGATTGCTCCAGAATATCAATTTGCAAGTCCTATTATGACCGAGCATCGGTGCTTATCGTCAGGCGTAGACTGTTGTTGTCCAATCGCAACAAACACTACGCTAGCAGACTGCCGATACTCCTGGTCATGCTGTCGAGGGTTTGGGAGGTGTAGACAAAGGGCTTTATCGAAACCAGGGTATAGTAAAACCGCGCCCTGGGATGCGTTTGCTAAGCTTGGAGGAGGGCCGTCTAGGGAATCAAACATTGGGCCAGATTGAAGAAGAATAATTTGATTAAAATCAAGTCGGGCGCCTCTTGACAAACTCCTCCAAGTCCGCCTTGGTCGCCACGCCGAGCACGAACTTCCGCGACGCATCTGTGACAACCGCGAAGGTCTGCTTAGCCCGGGTGGCTCCACTGGCATCGGTCTCGCTCTCGAAGAATTGTTCCAGCTCCTCCAGCGGGGTCTCCATCGTGATCACTTGGTATGTGCCTCGCTTGCGGTTGAACCGCTGCATGGCAGCGGAAACTGAGTCGGTTTCCTTCACGGCGCCCTCCTTCAGCAATTCCTTGAGGCGGGGAATGCTCAGGTATCCGAGGAGAGAGCGTTTCGTCGAGGAGATGACGGTGAGGTGTGTGTAGTCGCGCTCGTACGCAGCGAGTAGAGCAGAGGAGATTGGGTCGTCGGGGGAGACAGACAGCGCCGGGGGAGGGTCAAGGTCCTCGATCGTGGCCTAGATTCGCAAGTCAGTTTTCCGAGAGAGTCCCCATATCTTGGGGCAGCGTTATACTGACACCACGGTACTTGTCGGCCCAGGCGGACTGCGAGACCGGCTGCTGTGCATCCTGAGCGAGCTTCTGTTGGGCGAAAGCTTCACTTGCGCTCAAGTAAGAGGCCATGGTGGGCGGAGGTGGTAGTAATGGTGAAAGTGAGGGAGGGGTACGGGGGGACTGGGGGTCGCGTTCGCTTGGTGATGCACGGAGCTTTCGATTCGACAATGGCTGTCCGGGAGCGAACCTAGAATCCCGGGTTTGGAGGGCGTGGAAATGAACAGGTGAGGTTGATATTGCGTGAGTCAAGCATCCACTCGGTCACTGTCAGGTGGGAAGGTAAGTGATCGGGACCAAAATTCAATCCATCGCCGAGCGGGCCTGCCAGTTGGTGGGATGAGCTGAAACGGGTTAGCCTCCGCCTGGCTCCCGTGCGACGTCATGAACCGGCAGAACCGCCCATTTTCTTTCCCTCCCCCCCCCCAAAGCTCATTGTCATCACTTCCTTTCCCCATTCCTCGAACCCTTCCATCCCGAAGACATCACCGAGGCTCCACACTTTCCGTGGTCATACCTTTCTGTTTTCAGCTCACGTCGTGCCTGGTGACTCAGAGCAAAGGGTCCCAAGCTTGCCGTCGATCAATACTTCCGTACTCTTTAACTCCGCTCTATCTCCACCGCTGAAAGTGGGGGCCGATTGTAGACATACTCATAGATAAGGAGCCTGTCAGTCCAGCTTTCTGGGATTGTTATCCATCAGCCATCACACTTTTCGTTGTGAATACCCTAACTTGCTTTCCAGCGCGACTGGATCATTCTAGCCATCATGTTTCCTACTGAGGGCGTGATCGCGCAAGCATTTTCCTCTCAACATCCACTGGGACAATCCAGCTCGCAGCCTCAGCCGTCGGCAGCGCCGGAAATGCGGAAGCGAGAGCCATTTCCTGCCTGGAGCGTGGTTGAAGATACCAAGAAGAAGGCAGATGCGCTGGCTAAGGAAGCGACTCGGGAGCTCGACCTTGCAAGCCAGAAGGCTCAAGCCAAGACAGGCAAGATTAAACCATGGACTCCCAAATACTATGCGGCTTGCACTGTCGGTGGACTGCTTGCCTGCGTGAGTATCAGACCATACATGGGATAATCTTATTTTAAAGAGTATACGATCCTAAAGGTACTAATAGTTGCCCCGTGCATAGGGTCTGACCCACACCGCTGTGACCCCTCTAGACTTGATCAAGTGTCGCCGTCAGGTCGATCCTCTCCTATACAAGAGCAATCTAGAGGCATTCCGCACAATCCGTGGGGCTGAAGGATTGCGAGGAGTATTTACTGGCTGGGGACCAACCTTCTTTGGTTACAGCGTAAGCGCGGGTGTCCATGCAATCACCCTTTCTTGCTGACTGGTTGAAAGGCCCAAGGTGCATTCAAGTACGGCGGCTATGAGTACTTCAAGAAGTTCTACAGTGACCTTGTGGGCGTGGAAAATGCGACCCGATGGAAGACATCTTTGTACCTGGCGGCCAGTGCGTCTGCAGAGCTTATCGCCGACGTAGCCCTCTGTCCTTTTGAGGCCGTCAAAGTACGTATGCAGACAACCATTCCTCCGGACATCCGGTCGACCTTCACCGGCATCTCCAACGTCGTCTCCAAAGAGGGCGTGGCGGGGTGAGTAGCGTCCTCTATCTGCCATATGGTCGAAAAGTAGCAGCTGACCTATTCAGTCTATACAAGGGTCTCTACCCATTGTGGGGGCGTCAGATTCCGTACACCATGATGAAGTTCGCGTCCTTTGAGACCATTGTTGAGATGATCTACAATTACCTCCCCGGCCAGAAGTCCGATTACAACAAGGGTGCCCAGACTACCGTGGCCTTCACTGGTGGTTATCTGGCTGGTATCCTTTGCGCAGTTGTGTCGCACCCCGCCGATGTGATGGTCAGTAAGCTGAATGCCAACCGTCAACCTGGCGAAGCCTTCGGCGCAGCGATGAGTCGAATCTATAAGGACATTGGATTTCGCGGCCTGTGGAATGGTCTTCCCGTCCGTATTGTCATGATCGGCACCTTGGTAAGTCTTCCTGGGTCTAATCTTAGAGATTCTGTCCTGACAGCATATCACGTATAGACCGGACTTCAATGGATGATGTACGTATTACCTCATGACCATCACAGTCGATCTTTTCTCAGACAGGAGCTGACCTGTGACAGTTACGATTCGTTCAAGATCTTCATGGGTCTGCCGACGACCGGCGGAGGCCCAGCTGCGGAGAAGAAGTAGTGGTGAGTAGATGCTTTGGCCACTTTGAATGGTCTTGTCTGGTCTGTATGCACTTTTCTAGTCCCTGCAAAACGTACTGTAGTTATCTCTGAGAAGGGGTAGTCAGAATTTCCGTACAATGATGAGATTATTTGCACTTGTGGCAGGCTCAGCAGCGAGCACCGAGGCCGGTGATAAAAACAGGGGCATGGCGGCAATCTGCGCCTGAGGCCTTATCGGCGGACAAACCCGCTTTAGTCACGCATGGAACCAATCACACCCGAAGGAGCATCTTATCAGTATCAAGACGTCATCTCCCCTGCCGCGCATGGCTGGAGATACGATAACTAACGGTACCTATGGTACTTACGGATGTGAGTGAACTTAGTAAAGTAACTTCCAGTTCGCTCAGTAATTAGCCGATGGGCAAGACGCCTGGTCCTGCAGCCCTTCAGGTGGGACTGACACTAGAAGAGATTAAGTTTCCCATGGTCCCTTGACCTCGGGTGGGAGAGTCATCTCGAACACTCGAACACTCCGAAGGCGCGGTGGCCCAGCCCGACAAAGTTACTTACCAGGGCCGTAATCCGTTGCGACACGAACTATTATATATTGCGACGAACCTCCTTCCGCCACCATATTTCAGTCACATCTGACATACTCTTGCACTCCCCTTGACATTGAGCACGCAAAACAGATCGCATAGTCTTCAAACCAAAGACAACTTCACTTCAATCTACAAGGTATGTCAACCCCAACCCCCCCCGTCACTCGTTGCGCCCAACCTGTCTACTCCATCGCATCGCATCCCGCTATCGCGCAATCACCATCAGACGACCCCAAACTAACCAACCGCCGAACGTCCCAACCAGCAGACCACAAAACCCACCCTCGCAACACCTCAGAAGAATTGGGAAGAAAAAATGGGCGAACACGACCCCATCGTATCGCACGGCCGAGGAGGTACGCAATCCACCCCGAGCCATCCCTCGTCCCTTGCAAACCTCATCCTTGTCTCCCACCCTCCCTCCCTCCCACCACCGAACCCAACCCCGACTCCCCAATTCCCAGACTCATCCATACTAACAAGCAACAAACCAGGCCAAGGCAACATCGGTGCCGACTCAACCGAGTAAAACCACCCACCCAGTCCTCGCACCTCAAACAACCACCCTAACCCCACCCCGTTGAATAAATCTAGATACGTCGACGCCGCCATCGTCCGTGAAGGTATCTACGGCGACCAAGGCGACGGCGCCTACTCCGCCGGTGTAAGCCACCCACACCCACACCCTCTACCCTCACCTCAACCCAAATCTAACCCCTCCCCTCAAAAAGCGCGGCGGAGCAGGCAACATCGGCTCCCCGCACGTCCGTCCCACCTCGAAGGTGCCGCACGACGCGGAAATGATCCCCGAGCTGGCGATCCGGCAGTCCGTCGACGGGGATTATCATACTGGTGTATGTCCCCCCGCCCCCAACTCAAACCCCCGATCTTACGAAATCGGGTAGGATTCAATACAATGCTGATTTTTTTTTGTCTCCCGGAAAGCGCGGCGGACAAGGCAACGTGCATCTCGACGAGGAACACCGCAAGGAGAAGGAGAAGAAGCAGCAGCACCGGCATGATCAGTATGAGGGGTTGGCGGATAAATTGAAGTATAAGATTTTTGGGCGGAAGTGAGCTTGAGGCATCGCTGTTGGTGGTAGATATGGATTGGATGAGATAGAGATGAGGTGAGGTGGGGTTTCTTTTTCTGTCTTGGGCTTGGTTTTTTCTTGGTTGATTCCCTGGTTTGTTTGGTTGTTTGCGATTGCGAGTCGGATATTGGGGAGGAGGTATAGTACTAGGTAGTGTTGGTAATAATTACTCCATTTTGCTGCAGTACTTCCCCATACACCGTCTATCATAGGTATAATGAAAACACCGAAGAATCGAAGTATAAAGATTGGATCGAATGAAACCAAGTCCTCGTTTCTTTGTCCATTCATTAAAAAGGATCGGTAGATTCGCCATTGGTATCGGGACAACATCAGAAATCGATTGGAGGGGAAAAACAATGCCTGGGTAAGGGGGGGGCAGGGGTTCCATCAAATATCATAAAAAGGAGAGCAAGGCATTCCGTGTATCATGGTCTCGTCAACCCATCAACCTCATGCGAAATGTGAAAGTAGAAAGAAAGCCTCAGATAATTACACGAGTGAAGTCGAAACAAAAACGAATCCAACTCCTCGAGCGAAAACGTACACAATCCATGCCGAGTAATCCCAGTGTTGTTGTGCTCAGCGCAAGCATGTTGTAAAAGGGAAGGTGTTAAGGGAATCTCCATTTGAACGCCGGTTTTGACTGTAGTACACCCATACAAAGAAAGGAGGCGAGAAGAAAAAGGGACGAGGGCGACCACCAGGATCGTCGAATCGGGGAGGGAGTTTGGTTTTAGTTCTTGCTGAAGCGACGTTTGAACCAGCTCTTGCGCTTCGAATCATTGCTCATCTCGGTATCGTTTGTCGCTTTGCGCAGATGACGACGGCCGTTCGCCGCCGTGGGCGGTGGACCACCTCCGACAGGGCCCCCGGCGTTGGGATCAACGGCTGGAGGATTACTGCTGCCAAAGTTGATGCGTCCACCGGCAGCGGCGGGCTGACCACTTTCGAAACTGGGACCTGCGCCGAAACCTTGAAACCCGTAGCTCTCGGCCATCTGCTGCTGCTGCTGATACTGTTGTTGTTGTTGTTGCTGTAGTTGCTGCTGCTGGTGGAACTGATCGCTCGAGCTGTTGACCGAACTTGGGTCCGTCGAATTGGCCCAGGTCTCGCCGTTGCTGCCCGAGCCCGAACCAGACGCAGCAGTCACATTGTCGTATGACTTTTGGTATGCGTGCTGCGAATATCCGCTCTGTTCGGTGTTCATCCGCGCTTGGTGGCGTGGTCGCGGTCGGCCGCCGCCGCCATGGTTGTAAGGGTAGTAGTTGTCGGCTTGGCCGTTGCCGTTCTCCACGTAGCTGTCCGGTCGCGAATAGGTGCCGCGGCTGTTGTGGTAGCCATTCTGGTCGTAGTGCGCTCTGCTGGAATATCCTCCGTTGGGCGCTGTAGGGACCCTCAATTAGCACAGTGAAACTTCGCCATTGACAGACCAGCACGTTAACTATGCGAGGCGCATGCCTCCTAGGAGGTGAGGGAGGGAGGGAGGGAGTCGTACCTCCATAGTAGCTTCCCCGTCGGCTGTACTCTGGCGTCGCGGGTGTTGATTCCTCTGCTAGGTATCATTAATTTGATGCCGGAATCAGCCTGCCGAAGTAAGGGGGATAGACTCACCTGTCCTTGCGTACGACACAGGCCTGCTGCTGTATGATCCATAGATCGCAGCTTCGAAGGAACGGATAGTGTCAAGCGGGCGCTCAAATCTCGGGCGCGTTGGATTTGAAAGGTCGGGATCAGCTTTTTCAGCAAAGAGAGGGGGCAACAGTTAGTACAAAGGCTCCCCCGCATGAACGAACACATCTGAGACATTGAAGGGAGGTAAACGTACTAATGACATTGCCGTACTGATCCTTGTGCTGCATAGTCCGCAAGGAACCCAGCGTCGACTCTTCCAGAGCAACCGTATCTAGGAAACATAGTTAGTCGGGAAGGTTTGCGCAAAGCCACCCGAGCGACGTGAGAACTTGGCGAAAAGTGGAGTAAATAGTGTTTGGGGATAGAATGGTAGGAAGAAACCAAAAAAGGAGAATTGTCGGGGGAGTCAAGCTGGCCAGGAAGTGCGATAAAGGGGAATTTCCGGGTAGAGACGTACTAGGTTGCGCTTCGCTCATAGCAACCATCGGATCGGCTTTAGTGTTGAGATGACGGCGATGCTTCTCTTCGGCGGATTCAGTGAGTTGGATTTTCTTGCTGGAATGGCCCGACTGTTGAGACTTATTCGACTTCCCACTAAAACTGTAACCCCGATTATGCCTGAGAGGAGGCGCGACCGACTGGGAGGTGGCCATGGTTATTTATCATCGGGGACTCCTGCTTTAGCGCCTGATAACCAACAACTGCAGCAGGTTTTCGCAGCGCGCTGTCTTAGCTATGGCGGCGGGTGTGGAGCGCAAGCACGATCCAGGTGGGAACTGCCAAGGATCGAACGATGATCGCTGGCAACGATTTCTGCCTTTCTGTGGTTTTCGGACGTTTTTGTTCGCGGTTTCAGAACTGCACGACTCAGTCCAGCCAACGAGAGGAACGAGCGACCAGAACGTGGGGTATTGAGACCACTTTTCTTATGGATCACGTTGCAGACTGCGGAGGGAGTCGAACTTCTATACACGTTCTCGAACAGTAGCTTCTGCGGGCGACGAATTGATTTGGCAGTATTGTGGTTGAGTTGTTCTCTCGTCTCTTACAATGACAGAACAACAAGTTCGACGACGGCGATGCGAACCAGGACTTGGGTAGCGTCGAGTAGCGTCAAGTCAACGAGCGAAATGGGTGGAGACCGTCGCTTTGAAGGCTAGCAGTGAAGGTACGTATGTTAACTACCGAAGACTCCACAGACAGGACAGTGAGTTTTTTTGTAAAGTGATGGTTCTGTCAGAGCACACAAGTCAAGCGATTGTGGTTGTCACACAGCGATCGACAGTAGGGAAAATGACGCCGGTGCTAAAGTAGTGTGTGGTAGGCCGGTTTGAAGAGGAGGGGGGGATAATGGAGCGAGTTATATGCAGAATGGATGGGTGGAGAAGAATTCAACAAAGCACTCAAACGAAGGTCAACAAACTGGCCTCAAACAAGAAGTAACTGAAGAAATCAGAATTCAAGTCAAGCGACCATGGAGGGAGGGTCATTGAGGGTATTTGACTTGAGAATTGGCCAGTGGTGTTGACGACAGGCGCCACGCAATTAAGAGGGGATCACTTCCTGGGAGTCTGGGACCCGATGGATGGACAAATTGAGACTCTGCCTATCAGATAGAGAGCAGACCACTGGGGAGGATCACCGGATCTTCTTTTTTCTTTGCAACGCTTGTTTGTCTCTATTAATACTCTAATGTTCGTATGTGTGCGCGTATTATGGGTGAGTGGGTGAGTGGGTGGGTAGTCAGTGGTGAGATTGACAGTTTGGGATAATCCTTTCATAATGAATGGATGAATGAAAACTGCCAAATGCACAACTTCTCTTTCTTATCTACCCCAGAAGCTTCGATCAAGTGTTTGTCCACCACCATCACCATTACTACTAGTAACTTATCACCACCTTCATCTCTCCATTGACCATCCACTCAACACTCTTGACTGGACCCAACTGAATCACCTGGATCACAGTCTGTCAATTGGAGTATTGCATACTCAGCCACCTGCATCGCCAATTTTGCCCCGGTTAAAGAAAGATGAGGCCCAGCCTGGGTTGGGGATTGAACTTATCCTTGGGACTATCGGATATCTTCACAAACCAGGAAGAACCGGATACTTAGTAGCCATACTTCGCCCAGTGTTACGCCAGCTTTCCCCTCCCCTGGCCATGACCCGGCCAATCACTTAGGAGGAAAGGGGCCCAACCACCGTCTGGAAGACTCTCGTTGGCTTCAGATCCATGGACTAGGACTGGCACCATGTGTCACCGTATCCCCCCAGGGACGAACCTGGTCCAGATCATCACAAATCACAGATTCGCTGTCAGTCATGGACGGATTGCTTTGTATTGAGGACATTCTCTTGCCGCCTGATCGACCCCTGCTGGGGTGCACATCATCAATGCCGAATTCAGTCGACAATTCCAGACTCGGATCTGGAGTAAGCATGGAAGATCAATCATCTGCCATCGACATCATTCTGACTCAAATTTGAGGGCCGCTCTCTGCCTTAAGGTTTTTTTTTCACTCATCACTCACGAACCAGTCGGCCTTTTCCTCTTCTTCGTACATACTTATCAGTTCCAGACGGAACTCCCGACCATGGTTTATTTTTGGCCGGGACTCCGGCCACGCTTAGCCTTTTTGTTCCTTAGTCGCTTACTGGTCTTGCTTTTCCCGTATGCCAATACGACGGACATGATCTGATCCAGTCCGAGTTTTGGAGGCACGCCATTATTATTGCAAAGCAAGAAGAGAAAATCTTGATCCATCCACACTGCACGGCTGCTCACTAACTAAGTCGAGGAACGCGCACTAGTCAACTAATCCTGCTCCGTCGGCTTCCAATTGGCCTGGCATGAAAACTTGGAATATGTCTGCCTGTCGCCCTCTCAGTGGCTCGAGAAGATAATGCTGGTTGTCGCAGGTCGGACTGCAGCTCGCCTACAACAGCACGTCCCACCGACTCAGCTGCTGTGTGCCAGCCATACTTGCTACCCTTCCGAGACAACGCCACACAAACCCAGCCCCCCTTCTAATTAGTGGGATGAAGATTGACTATCAGCATCTCTAATGAGGAAGCAGGAAGTTGCTGAACTATAGTGGTGGGGTCATGCCTCGCAGCAATGAGTTTTTTTTTCACTCGGACAGCCTCATTCGAAGAAAGGTGAAATCAACTTTAGGAATCAGAAAGAAAAGCTGTATGGTACAGTAGTATGAAGTATGAAGGTCAAAGCAAGGTCAGGCTAAGACATTTCCACCCCCGATGAATCGATCCTTCCAGAATGGTTCTCCGACTCGGTAGCAGCCATCACCAAGCCGCGCGGTTGACGAGATCGTGCCGATCCCTATCATTCTTCCTGCAGTGGGTCACGCTGGGGCGGGGATGGCGCTTACTTTATTTCTTCTTATTTACTCACTAAATTCCAACCAACGCTCTCCCTGCAAGGGAGTCGTCTTTCCATATCAGAACGGTTCTCGCAGCCTTGTTTACCAGGCAGTTGATCTTCGATCTCATCAAGCACGATGTAATCACGCAGCTGTCGATCGACATGCCCTACCTTTCCCAAGTCTAGTGCATGCTCCGATGTAGTGAACATATATATCTAAGTGCAGGATGAACCACACTGGTGTCCCGAACATGTCCACGTCTTGCTTATCGTCAGAAGCACACCGCCGTCCTCTTAATATTTACTCCGACTCGTGCAATCGGGTTGGACACCATCCAGACATTATCCAGACATTACGTATAGAGAGAGAGCTGGCACTCCGCCCGCCATCCGAGGAGATCCACAATCAATCAATCAAACCACTTTAGAATGACGTCGTTATTTCAATCTGTCCATGCTTGACTACAATCCGACTACGTTCATCTGCTCAATATCTCCAAATGTCATCGAACCCTGCCACAAGAGAACCCGGCAGTCACACGCTATGGAAAGGCGTAGGACGTATATCCCATAGCAAAATCTCTTGATTCATAAGTTAGAACAAAATCTCCAGAATCCGCGGTATCGGCCCCAGATTGGGGAAACGATGATATATGCTACTGTCCATTTCTCCGAGGGAAAATACATTTATGCGACATCCCCCCAAATTCTACAGACCGTCTACTTCGATAGATCAGAGGTGAATTCGTGATGCATGGCAACGCGTCTGTGCGTAAGGTCTGGGGCGAATTCGGTGTGATGCAGTCAGTGAAAGGTACTGTGCCATTCGGGATAAGACAGAAGAGACTCTGTTTGTGACAGCTGCACTGGCGCGAGGGAAGGGGTTTGTTGTGGTTATGGATTGAGTGCGAAGCGTTGTCTTTGAGTTGGCAGTGGTCAATATGGGTTCTCTTGTCGGTGATTTCTACTAAGGTGACTAGGAGGGGTATGGGACATGTCCACCCCGTGATGGAAAGAGCATTCCTAAATTGATTGATTGCTTGATAGATCATGACGTACATGCTATGCGGAGTCACGATCTGTGCCACAGTTATTATGGTTAGGGCCCGTGCATGAAATCGAATATACCACACCTCTTTTCCTTTTCTCGGAAACCTATACTACAATTTGTGAAGGCGGGTGGGTAGAAGATTGTGGATTGTGAGTGGCATCGAGGCAGATGGGAGGTAGAAAATGCGGAAACTACAATCCGGGAGTCGTGGGCAGTGCGGAGAGGTTGGTTGCGCTGGGGTGTGTTTGTTCCGCGCTGGACTACCGCGTTTGTGGCTGTTATCATGTGCTTGAGTGAACGTACCGTGCAACAAGAGACGACAGACATGCTGGGCTTGCGTGTGCTAAGGGAGGGAAGGCAACAATAGTCGCTGGAGCCTCGTCGAGACCTGGATGTGGTTTCTGGTTTGAACCGGGCAGGGCAGGACACAAGTGGGCGATGGAGTTTCGAACCTGAAGTCTACCCTTGCGCATCGGTGGAATCAGTTGCTGGCTACGAAGCAGGCCTGGCATATTCAAACAGGCTGAGCTCTGAAAATATCATCTTCGCGTGTCGATTGATTCGAGATCGGGAAAGGGCATGTGGTTGAGATCGGCGGTTGTTGTTGCATATGGGAATCTCAAAAGTAGAACGAATGCTCCGGATGGCGACACATGCTTGACCGAATGTACCCAGTTAACCCCCAAAAGCCATCTCGGTTGCCAAAAATCTCTCCTGATACGGTCGGTACTACCCGAAACTCAAAACGAATGAAGGATCCGTGGTGTTGAAATGGTATGGATTGTGTTGTTTATGAGCGTCAGTACATGAGATGTGGAAGAAAGCCATGCTGCCGGCCAAGGCACACCAAGAGCCCCCCAGTACTGAAATTGGATGGAGCCCTTCGTTTATATGCCCATGGTCCGGTAGGTCACCATGCTGGAAAAAAGAAGAAAGAAGTTCTTTTAATTTAGTTTCGTAGGGCTAACCGGCCCTGCCTCTCCCACGAACATTACCAACCCGCCAACTCCATCTCAACATCGGCTCATACCGTCGACTCCTTGCCCGACTGTTTGCGCGAAATTAGATCCGGAGTGCCATCCATCATATCGAAAAAAGGGCGTCATTTAGATGTTGGAGGGGTAGAGCATGACACGGACGGTGGCGCCGAGGGACTTGGGGGGGAGGTTGTGGCGGAACTGAGCGCGGACAACACCGGAGTTGCCTATTCATCGACCGTGTTAGTGGCCTCGTTCCTGAATCACCGCAGCGCCTGACTTCTTCTCTCGCTGCGCGGATCTCGACTGTCGTCCTCTTCGCGGATGAGGTTGATTCGTTTCACGTACCGTGAGGGCGGGTGACCTTGCCCCAGATGACCCGGATGTTCGAGCCACGGACCTCACGCTTAGCCCGGTAGACGAAAGCGACCTTCTTGCCGAGGTAGAAGTTGGCAGCCTCGGTGTTGGTAACACCGTCGATCTGGATCAGACTATATTTTTCAAAATTGTCAGATTCCCATTGTTTCCGACGTCGATGCTCCGATGAGTGGATCGGTACCTGGTGTTGCAGTTGACAGCACGCTTGGAGCGCTGGAAGCTCAGGTGGCGACCCCTGGTAAAGAAATTCGTATTAACCCGACTGCCCTGATTGTTTCCCGTCGCGCTTCAATCCGTCTCAAATTCTTCGGTATAAATTCGACCATAACGATATATCCGGGGCATCTTTGCGCGATTCGACGATTCAACGATATGTGTTGGCAACTTACTTAACGTAGACTAGTGGTCGCAAAGAATCAGGTTAGCTTTTAATTTCTCCAAAGATGAATCTCCCAGCACTGCGCTCCCCAGTTCCGACTCCATATCCCCATATCAAAACAGTGTGGCGGCATCATATATCAAAAAAAGACCGGAGAGATAGACTCACGTCTGTTACCGTTTTCCGAAGGCATTCTGGCGGCGTTTCTCTGAGCAACAGCGGGCAACGCAAACGAAGTCGAAGGAAGGCAGAAATGACCCGCAAAAAGTCGTCCGGGTTGTCGTGGTTGTCGTCGCTTCAATCGGTTACGGGACGACGCACAAGGCCACAATTTGCGAGGTGTGTTCGGTGCGGCTCGCCCTAACCCCAATTGGGACGCTTAGCGAGTCCGACCGCCCAGGGCAAGGCAAAGTCCCGTGATATGGGGGATAGGATGCAAACGTGCCAAGCCGCAGGAGAGCACCCTAGTCTACTTTCGGCATTCTTCGGATAAACCACTTTCTCCAGGATCCGAGAGCTGTACTCCGTTGATGGGACTAGTGGTAGTGTCCGTCCCTCCGTATTCCATCGTCATCATTATCATTCATGATCAGTTTGAAAGAATGTCAAACTTCCGCTCCCCACCCGGTTATTTTGCCGCCGGCCTACTGTGGTCCGAAAGACCTGCCCCTCCTCCCCCTCTAGAGTCTTTCCGCCGGTTGATACTCCGTACAGCGGAGGAAGCTCCAGAGCGTCCGGACTCCCAAGCTGACAAAACAGTTTGTTGAATTCTTTCCACCGGTGACGGCAATTGGCCCCATCGGATATCACCAGACTGAAAGTAAGTGATTGGGACATACTAGTTATCCCGCACTTGCTTGCACTTGCTTGCACTTGCTTTTTCAGACTGCAGGGAGTGGCAGCAGTAGCAGTAGCAGCAACAACGAAAACAACAACTTGAAGTTTCGGCATGCATGAGCTTATCTCCTTGATTTACCCAACAAGGTCCCTTTTCAGTCCCAAGAACAGGTCGCGGTGCCTAGTCAACTGCATCTGGAGCTTTAGCATGGCCTTTTATCTGCTACTGCCAGGGTAGCGCTACATTTGTCCCCGGTGGATTGACTGTATGGGCCTATGAGGGTATGCGGACTTAAAACGGGGGAGGATGACTTCTTCCAAACCGATCAGACCGGGACACTCATTTGGAAATAAAGCGTACCTTAGCCCCACCAGCAACCGGCAACGAACCTGACATGATGTCCTTTCCCTTCAAGCACGCCATTTCATCTTCAAGGTGCTTGCCTCGGGCGTCAACATCTCAGAAAGTAGTATATCCATCGAGGAACTGATGCAAATGCATCAAAGACTGACAGGAACCAAGAGCATGTGGTTCAATAGTGAGGCTGGAATGCAACGGCGATCGAAGTACATCCGTCTCACAGTAGGTGTGATAGGGAGTATAATACTCCGCAAGCCAATCCAGCCCTGACTCGGCATCCTTAGCACCATCTCCGGACTCGACTGGGCCGAAAGTTCGGTTTGATTCACTGCTCCTGCTACACTACGCCCATTTCACGGGAAAATTAAATCCGTATCATCCTTTTCTGGATGACAAATTCGCCGATCTAACCCCACGACGCTGGTCACCGGAGACGCGGATTCAGGAGTCTCACAGTCTCACCTGGTTTACCGCAAGCCCCGGCAACCAATAGCCCTTCGCTGCAGCTTCTGGCGCGATCTATACGGTTGCAGTTGTGGAATAGCCTGAACATCGGCTTAATGCATTCTGCTGTTATCAGCACAGTGCTGAAAAACGGTTGAATCTTTCACTAGTATGTAAGATGGGGATTGAAATTGAGATGAAAAGAGGGGCAGGCGCAAGCTTTATGTAGGCGGGATTCTCTCGGATTGTATCCCCACCATGTTGTCCTGTAACATACCGGATGAGTAGGTAGAATGCCATGACCTTGTCCTGTGGTTGGGATGCGCCGGGTTGAATACGATCCATTGTTCCCTATCTTAGTCCCCCTTAGGATCGAAGCTGACCTGCATGGCTTGAAGCTCCACACGGTCTTCATCCAACGCCCCGCCGATATACATTTCATGTACGACGACGGGATCCGGGAGGAAGCTCTCGTAACCCCATGCTCCTCAGTCCATAAGGGATACGAGTAGAAACAAAGAGGCATGTCAGATCGGAGTTGGAGGGGGTCAAACGAACTATTGGATCATGGTGAACGCGGGGTGTGTCCCATGTGACTCCAAGATGTGCTTTCTATTCGAGCTTCATCCGCCTCCAGGTATGGAATTTTGAGCGGAGGGTCAATCATTCCCCAGATTCATCCAAATGGGCTGAGAGCAAGCGTGGCTTTTTTTTTGTTGTTTCTGGTGGTAGAGCTATAATAGTGCTGATGGGGCTTCTGAGCGGAACGGTCGGGAATTTTTATTATAGTATCTCTGTAGTTACTCGTACATCAACTTCAGAGTATGTTTCTGTTACCAAGCAATGATATAATCTCGAGAGTCATTGCCACAGGGTGGGAACTGGACCGGAGCGGGAGGTTGGTTGGAACAGATGGAATCAATCAACTATAAAAGCGGACAGAATTTCCTTCTCCAAGGAGATGCGCTGGAGAAGAGAATTCACCGAACTACGACGATCTTTCATGTCCGAAAGTAAGACGGAGAGAATTAATTGAGCAGAAGAGAAGAAGAAAAATAATCAATCAATCAAATCAATCAATTCCTGAAATTGAATTGAATTGAATAATTTACCTTACAGTCCTCTCTCTCACCCTCACCCTCACGGGGTCCCGCGGCAGCGCAGCATCGACGTAGTGGAAAGAACAAGTGCCCCACCCGGGCTCGATTGCTTTGCGCCCGCCCACCTTTGCGCTTGTTCCAGCAAGCAGCAGAGCAGAACAGCAGCAGCTCCCCCTCCGGCCATCTTACGCTACTCCCGTCGAGCCCTCACGCTCTTAAAAAGTACTTGCTCCGCCGGACTTGTTGGGAAATTTCCCTTAAACCCTTTGATTCAGTTTTCCTACCTCCTCTCTTCTCCTCTCCTTCTCTCTCTCTCTATCTGTGATTTATTTACCCTACCTACCCCCCTCCTCCCATCCCATACAGACTCAACAACCCCACCATCCAAAGAACAATGGCCAGCACGATAGCCCGCACTGAGGAACGCCAGAGCGCTGGGTGAGTAAAAGTAGTACTACTAGTTACTGCGAGTCTGCGACCTTCCCTCGCTGACATCACACCCCTCCTTCCTCTCTTTCCCCCCCTCCTCCATTCCCTCCGTTCCCTCCTTGTCCACCGCCCAAGTACTACTACTGCTACGTGAACTTCACCCACTACCAACAACACCACCACCACCACCTCTTACCACCGGGCCGGTTGCCAAACACTCATCTACGAGCCCGCCCCGCTTCCACCTTTCCCCTCTCCTAGTTCCGCGATCGCGTTTTCTACCAATTCGTGATCAAGATCAAAGATCCCGTTGAATTTGCCCACTTCTGTCTTTTTTCTGCCGTTCCCTGGTTCCATTTGATTTTCTCAGATCGACATACATCACATCCTTGCAATCATCAGTCAATCCTTGCCGACTTGAGAAGCTAATATGGGTTTTCAACGCAGCACCGCCGAACTCAAAGATGACACCGTCATTGTAGTACTAGGTGCATCCGGAGATCTTGCGAAGAAGAAGACCGTGAGTCACTCCGCGTGCGGGAGAGCAAAACTGATACAGATGCTGTATCGAAGACGGACATTGAAGCTGACAATTATTGTAGTTCCCCGCGCTCTTCGGCCTCGTATGTTGACAATGACCAATTTCAAGGCTGTCCTCGAACTAGTCCCCCGAAACTAATCGCACCTGCAGTACCGCAACAAGTTCCTGCCCAAGGGCATCAAGATCGTCGGCTATGCCCGGACAAACATGGATCACGAAGAATACCTGAGACGTGTGCGCTCATACATCAAGACTCCCACCAAGGAAATCGAAGAGCAACTGGATAGCTTCTGCCAGTTCTGCAGCTACATCTCCGGCCAGTACGACAAGGATGACTCGTTCATCAACCTCAACAAGCACCTCGAGGAGGTGGAGAAGGGCCAGAAGGAGCAGAACAGAATCTTCTACATGGCGCTTCCCCCCAGTGTCTTCACCACCGTCTCCGACCAGCTGAAGCGCAACTGCTACCCTAAGAGCGGTGTTGCTCGCATCATCGTGAGTCACCCATGCCACAATCGTGACCGGCGAACCACCACTCACATCTTTCGTGTTGTACTATAGGTTGAGAAGCCCTTCGGTAAGGACCTGCAGAGCTCGCGCGACCTCCAGAAGGCCCTCGACCCCAACTGGAAGGAGGAGGAGATCTTCCGTATCGACCACTACCTGGGTAAGGAGATGGTCAAGAACATCCTCATCATGCGCTTCGGAAACGAATTCTTCAACGCCACCTGGAACCGCCACCACATCGATAACGTTCAGGTATGATGTTCTGCGGGTTTCGCCGGTCTTTGTCAGTCGCTAAGATTCTGCGGTTTAGATCACTTTCAAGGAGCCTTTCGGCACTGAGGGTCGTGGCGGTTACTTCGATGAGTTTGGTATCATCCGTGATGTCATGCAAAACCACCTGCTGCAGGTCTTGACCCTGCTTGCCATGGAGCGCCCTATCTCCTTCTCTGCTGAGGATATCCGTGACGAGAAGGTAAGCGTCTTTCTCACTCGAATCGGATTCCATGACTGATTTCATCTCAGGTCCGTGTTCTCCGTGCGATGGACGCCATTGAGCCCAAGAACGTCATCATCGGTCAGTACGGAAAGTCGCTGGACGGCAGCAAGCCCGCCTACAAGGAGGATGAGACCGTCCCCCAGGACTCTCGTTGCCCCACCTTCTGCGCCATGGTTGCCTACATCAAGAACGAGAGATGGGATGGTGTTCCTTTCATCCTAAAGGCCGGAAAAGGTACGCCCGTATTGGTAGCATGTGTCCGATTCTCGAGCTGGTATATTGACTTTGTGCAGCCCTGAACGAGCAGAAGACCGAGATCCGTATCCAGTTCCGTGACGTCACGTCTGGAATCTTTAAGGACATTCCCCGCAACGAGCTCGTTATCCGTGTCCAGCCCAACGAGTCCGTCTACATCAAGATGAACTCCAAGTTGCCCGGTCTGTCCATGCAGACTGTGGTGACCGAGCTCGACCTCACCTACCGCCGCCGCTTCTCCGACCTCAAGATCCCCGAGGCCTACGAGTCCCTGATCCTCGACGCCCTGAAGGGCGACCACTCCAACTTCGTCCGTGACGATGAATTGGACGCCAGCTGGAGAATCTTCACCCCTCTTCTGCACTACCTTGACGACAACAAGGAGATTATCCCCATGGAATACCCCTACGGCATGTGTACCCCTTGAATCAGTAAATTCCCCGTGCGATCACTGACAGTTGATTCAGGATCCCGTGGACCCGCGGTTCTGGATGACTTCACGGCCTCTTTCGGCTATAAGTTCAGCGATGCCGCTGGCTATCAGTGGCCCTTGACCTCTACCCCCAACCGGTTGTAATTGATGGCATAGCCATCTGGACACGCTGAAGGTGGGAGTGGGGCCTCACGAACGAAGTAAAATGTCAGACTAAGTTATGAAAAAATGTTAATGCTATGGGGCGAGATCTACGGCAAGACCGGACATGTGGGTTGATATGACAGGAATGCAAGCTTCACGGTACTGTTCATCGGTCGGTCGGGCAATGACTGGAGTTACTGTTTACCACCCCTCCTATTTCTTTAGAAACGAATGCAGAGCACGTTACGAACCATATGAGTCTGGTCTGGTCATGGTGTGGTGGTGTAGGTTGGATCAGGTTGGCTGTCGCAGAATCGCAGGAATGCTGGCGGAAGGCAATAGAGTGAATTAAACCCGACAACATTCCCGCAGCCCATCCAGGTTCTAGAACCAAGCTGTACGGATGCATATCTCCTGGCAGGCAGACCACATACCACGCTTCGGATAGCTAAGCGAACGGAATCATTCATTGCCTAACTGGGCAATTGAGCGGCGGCAAGGGGGCATCCTGCAACCACCGGGTTCAAGGCTCATGGGAATTGAGCCGTTCCTGAGATGACTCTCCGAGATGGACCCTGGAACGGCGAAGGAAACCCCCACTATGGTATGAGGATCACAATTTAACGCAGCTGTCAATCGTCCTGATGGTTGAGCCCTTAACCAAGAAGGGTTAAGGCCTGTTATCTCTATGTCGTGTAGGGAGGGAGAGAAGCTGGAAAAGGAGGGTCAGTTGTGCAGCAGTGCCCGGAGGGGATACCCGGAGGATGCCCAGCGGGTGCCCAGCGGGTGCCCAGACCTCCAGGGGTGCAATCTATTCCCTCCAAGTCGCGTGCCTTGCTCTGCTCTGGGGGGCCTGGCAGTTCGTAGGATATGTACACAGTATATGAATAGTAGCAGCAGTGGGTCTCTTCAGACCAGAACAGACCAGACCAGACCACCCACCACGACGGGCCGGGGGCCCGCATGCGTCCGTCGTCTTTGGCTGTCCTGCCGCTGCCGCGTCGTCTTTCTTGCTTGCCCTTCACAGCCCGGGGGGCCTTCTTCTTCGTCTTCTTTCTCCTTCTCTTTTTTCCTTTTCTCTCTCTTGTGTCCTCTCTCATCTTGACCCTTTTCTTCTCTCCCTTTTTTCTCACGATTTCGATGCTTTTCAGCCAAACTCGAATCCATCACATTCCCACAGAACTGA